TTTTACTGTTACTTTTGTCATTTCTATTTATTCAACCTGTTCATGTTAACATGGTTTAACATTTTATTATCATTATACATTTTTTTTTTATCTTTGTGCCCCGCAGTTGTGTAGGCCTATGTATATTTTTTTTTTCCGATTCCTACACCTTTGACAATTTCGGAAGTGGTGAGTGATGGGGGGTCTTTTAAATATCAGTGATGAGTCATGGAGGTCTTTTAAATATCAGTGATGAGTCATGGAGGTCTTTTAAATATCAGTGATGAGTCATGGAGGTCTTTTAAATATCAGTGATGAGTCATGGAGGTCTTTTAAATATCAGTGATGAGTCATGGAGGTCTTTTAAATATCAGTGATGAGTCATGGAGGTCTTTTAAATATCAGAGTTGGAGTTTGAGTGTCAGATCATCCGTATTGCCGACTTTTGTTGTATCTGTCTACACGGTTCTATACATGAACAGGTGAACATTTTAATAGAAATTGGTTATGTTAATCTAAACCCAGAGGACACGAGGATACTTTATTTTCCAAATTAATTTATCGCACTTGGACATTGAAGCGGGAGGATTTCATTGAAGTTTTATTGTAAACGAGTGGAATCTACCACTTATTTCCGAAAATTTAAGTCAGTAACTGATTTCGATAAAAAAGCACAATTCCTGATAATAGTGTAGCCTTTTAATTGCTACCATTGACCAGTGTGGCGCCCCAAGAAATGTTACCACGAGTTCCACGAGTCGGAATAGTTCAGGTATTTCCAGCTTCTGAGCTCATTTCGTGATTCTCATGCAGTAATGTTAACGGGTTACGTTCCTACAGAGTGGACGCAGTAATGACCCACGCTTAATTCGCTGTTATAATTGATAGCGGATATGATTTGAATCAATTTGCTCTTCTCTCCGAAAATAAATTCCTGCGCAGTCGTACCCCCCAAATTCAGTATCACATTCAACTATGTGAGCCTTCTAATGTAGAACAAATGATGATTTTTTTTAAAAATAAGAACATTTTTTTTTTTAAAAGAACAACTAAAAAAATAGTTTTCCGTATAAATACTTTAAATGAAACTGTTTTCTGCATTATTTAGTGACTTATTGCTGGCTCCAGTTCTTAAGAAATCATTGCATCATATTTCTTTATCTTCCCCTTAAAAAAAAACAGGAAAAACTGTTATACGAGGGTTGGGGTGGGGCTGAAAATTTGAAAGAATGTGTTGTCAACGGCAACGAGGTCTATGTTCTCGCTATGTGCCAACTTTCAGCCTGATAGGATAATGGGAAGTGGGTCAACTAGCCTTCCGAAGATTATGGCACACAGAAATAAATGGCACACGAATAAAAGCTAAGTCGATGTACAGGCTTTAGTTAAAAAGCGCAAACAACTTCCATTTGACAACAAAGATTCTCCCTTGTGAGCAGCAAACAGCAAATGTAAGCAAACTCAGCTCCGCTGAATTGAGAAACAACATTTCTCTTCATGTGCTCAAATAAGTTCTTTTACGTTTAAACTTACAACCAAAAAATTTTTTTAAAAAAAAACCGTTTTGATAGTTGTGTTTACCCGTTCAGTATGAATGTTTTCTTTTAAAATATATGTGTTTGTGTGAGAGTGTGGGGGTGGGTGGGGGGGGGGGGGGGGGGGGGGGGGGGGGGGGGGGGGGTTGTGGACTGTTCCGAGTCTCACCTCGTGTCCATGAGCACTACGGCCACGGGGTGAACATGCTTTGGCCATTTTTAAGTTTAACTGACGGTGATTAAAAGCTGTGACCTTTTAGCCAGTGGCGTTGCGAGGGTGTTTGGCGCCCGGGACAAGATTCGCGCCCGGGGACAAGATCCATTTTTTAGCGCCCCTTTTTCTTTTTTTCAACTCTCAGACCCATTATTTTCATCAATAAAATAATATCAAAGCACATTTTGGCGCCCCTAACTAGCTGGCGCCCCTAACTAGCTGGCGCCCGGGGACATCTGCCCCCCCACCACGCTACGCCTCTGCTTTTAGCCCTAAACAAGCATGCAACCAGCCTCAATGCAATCGTGTAAAAGTGTAAGGGGGGCCACGGTGTAATGCAACGTCCGTGTACATTATCATGCTCGATTATATGAGTTGTATTAAATGCTTACAACAATGCTTAGGGTTAATTCATAGAAACAATAAAGACTTGGTTCACCAAATAAACCCAACACTGTTTATTTACATGAGACTATCGGAACACGCCCACCGTTAAGGCATGGTTGGAGATGAAGAGAGAACGTAAGTACTCAAGATCACATGACAAGAAGACGAAAGTTATACTATAAAGACAATGACGTGGTTTCGACATGGGTCTGACCAAAATGTAATATAAATTACTCAAATTGTTTCCCATGGGGAAAATCTGCGGCCACGCAAAATGAATTCAGACGGTCAGAACGCTCGGATTGATTGATTAATCTACTTAGTCTGATTGCATAGGCGGCTATAAAGCGCTGTAAGTTGTGTTACATGTGAGAAGATGAGGAGCCCCATCGACTACGTTTGATGCAAGCTACATGCCTCTCCTTATCTCTGATGTAAGCTATTTTATGCCTCTCCTCATCACTGATGTAAGCTATATGTCTCTCCTTATCTCTGATGTATATATGCCTCTCCTTATCTATGATGCAAGCTATATGTCTTTCCTTATCGTTATCTCTGATGTAAGCTATATGCCTCTCCTTATCGGACTATGGTCCCTAATTTTCACAAGGAAATAAACGGGGGAAAAAAAAACTTAATTTTTAAAAAAAATTTATAGACAATTATGACGTCGCAGCAGAGCCGTCAGTTGTGTGGGCCCAGCAACCCATGAGGCCGTCAGTTGTGTGGGCCCAGCAACTCATAAGGTCGCCAGTTGTGTGGGCCCAGCAACCCATGAGGCCGTCAGTTGTGTGAGCCCAGAAACCCATGAGGCCGTCTGTTGTGTGGGCACAGAAACCCACGAGGCCGTCTGTTGTGTGGGCCCAGGAACCAATGAGGCCGTCTGTTGTGTGGGGCCAGAAACTCATGAGGCTAGGTCGCCAGTGGTGTGGGCCCAGCACCCCATGAGGCCGTCAGTTGTGTGAGCCCAGAAACCCATGAGGCCGTCTGTTGTGTGGGCACAGAAACCCACGAGGCCGTCTGTTGTGTGGGCCCAGAAACCAATGAGGCCGTCTGTTGTGTGGGCCCAGAAACTCATGAGGCCATCAATTATGTGGGCCCAGCAACCCATGAGGCCTTCGGTTATGTGGGCCCAGAAACCCATGAGGCTCGGATATTTTAAGGACCTAGATGTGGTGAACAAATATTATAATGGCTAAATTGCAATATGGGAAAAGTGGCCGGGGGGGGGGGCTTCAAAAGTAACGCAACGGCTCGACGTGACAGTAAACAATAACAACAACGTGTCCTAGGTTTCTCCGTTGTCTGTCAGGCACAGCCCAGTGGCTACCAAAGTGTGCGCCGACTCGCCCTGGGGAGCCGCGGTTTCCTCGCAGTGGTGCCGTGAAATATTTCAAAATTTAATAATTTTATGGCTGCGACTATTCGCACCCGGGTACCAGAAGTGAGATGTTGGGATTAAAATACTATTTAAAATAGTATTGTTGGGTTTATAAGACAAAAATGAGGTATCAAATGAAAGATAATTGAATGGACTATATGTTTGTTAACTTACTTATTCAGTTTAACTAAAATAAACTACCACAAATGACATCCGAATAACATAGGTCTAATGGGACCCGGGTGCGAATGGCTGCGCTGCGTATCCGGGGGCCATTTCGACTAAATGCTATTCGGGTGTGTTTTTTTAAAAAAAGAGAATCATGGTTTCTAACATGTATGATCGAAGCATCTCTAAAATATTTATTTTATAAAAACGCATATTTAAAACATTCATTGTAACAATGGTTCTCTCTCGTCTTGACTATTGCAATTCCCTTCTGTCAGGTTCACCAAAACACTTCATAGAGAAACTACAAAAGGTTCAAAACTCACCTGCTAGGTTAGTTCTAATGGCAAAAACAAAACAAACAAAAAAACGTGATCACGTCACTCCATTACTCCACTCACTTCCTTGGCTCCCTTTAGAAGTACGCATTGACGACAAACTCTCTTTGTTCTCTCTCAGTTTTTTTTCTAGGATTCCTGGCCTTCTTATCTAATTGAACTTATTTCTGTCTATTCATTTATTCCACAGCTTTGGTCCTCCGCAGACACGCGTATTCTTCCTGTTCCGAAGACACGCACTAAAACATAAGGTGAACGATCTTTCTCTTTCTGTGCCCCCCTCCCCATGGAATTCTCTCCCACTACACATCCGCATTATAGGCTACCGACCAACCAGGCCTTCAAAACTGCACTCAGACACATCTCTTCAAACTCTACTATCCCGACTGATTCACGCCCATTTGACCGATAAACGATGCTGCTGGGTGCCTCCATGGCTCACATGTAAATAGTACTGGGGTGGGTGGGGTGAATATATATTTTTTGTTTTTATACAGCTGTTTTTTTAATGGTTCTGGTTCTGGTAGTGTTCGTTGCTGCATCCATATAATGGCATCTGTGCATTATGAAATAAATGTATTTAATGTCATGATTATGTTTTCTAATATTTTTATGTGCTACTCGGTGAGCCCAGCCCTAGGCTGGGGTACCGCACTATATAAGACCACTGCAATAATAATAATAATAATTATATGTATGGCCCCATCGTGGATTGACAGATAACAATTTTGAATGCAGTGTTGACCACTTTCATATTGAAACTTCCCACAACTGTATCCGCAACTAAAAATGTCTTGTTCTCCCCAACTTCGGGCGACTTTAACCCTAGCTACGCCACTGGGCTATAAGCCCCATCCGATTAAGGGTTCACGACATACAGGTCGAGAACCCGTGGGCCATGGTATGCCGTCCTCCGGGCGGAAGGCGACTCGAGGGTGATTTTTTTGTTATGTTCTCCTTGGCAAAAGTTAGATTCGTTAATCTTTTTAAGTTAGAATTTTATAGTTCAAAATGGCTGCCATTGTTGGAAAAATGAGAATTATTGATAACTTTGTATGTGGTTAGGATTAAGAGGTAAAAATACTGAATTACAGTGCACTCTAAATAAATTTTAAATATAATAATAGTAATAGAAGCAAGCCCATAGACTATCCTTTAAAAAAAGTAATATAGTTATTGCGACTGACTCATGAGACTGAGACCACTAAACTGTCTAAACTAAACTAAACTAAACCACTTCACTAAAATTTCAGTTGGCAAATTTAAATTATTAATTATAAAATTAATAATAATAATAATTAATGAATATTATCATTATAAAAGTTTTAAAACTTTCTCTACACTCAACTCTACTAATACTAATATACCCATACTTTATAAGACTGAAAAAGAGTAAAACCTATATAACTTTTTCTTTTTTGGGGCATACTTTCTTACTTAGTTTCAGCCTAGTTTTTTGCTCAATATTGAAAATATTCATCTGAGTCTCATTTTAAAAAAAAATAATGTTAAAATTTGAATACTTTTAACAGTTGAATTGAATAAGCATATGAATTGATTGAATCATTCCCTACGCTTACATACTAACTAAGTCTACTACTACATCATTTATTAGTATTTATTACAAATTTCAAATAGTACACCATATTCACTTCAACTTCATCAGGTCAGTTACAGTCAGTAATATTTATGTCAATTGTCAATACTCAATTAAAAGTGTCAATGATAATATCAAACAATTTAACTTTTAGTTTTACTACTCACGTGACAAGTCTGAGTTCATCACACTGAAACTTTACTAAGCAGTAGGCCTTCATACTAAAGACATTCACTGGCAACTCTGCACACTAGTCTAACAAATCTCAACTTCAACCATTTCAACATAAACTCAGTGTATAAGTTTAGGGGACAAGCTAGTCATTCCTGCAATCATCACTGCAGCATGTGGCAGTCTATTGACTGTTGCATTCGAGCTGTTGCAGTAGGTTAAAACACAAAGCAGATTTTGCATGTTAATGTATCTACAAGTCAAGCATTGCTCAGTCATCATCTATGTCACCAAACTCTGCTGTTAGTAACAAAGTTTCCATTTGGGGTCACTTTTACTTATTTGTAAAATTCTACTGAAAAAATTTCTTTCAGTCATTTGTTCACCTACTAGCTGAACTTCACTTTCTGAAACAGGGCTTTTATCCATGCCTTGACCCCCAAGAATGTCATTGGCATGTTTGGCTCCAATCTGCTTGTTAGTTTATAGCCATACCAGCATGATCTGGTATCCACTGAAAGACCACGCTTCCTGCTCCCACCTGGATGGTGTATATTATTTTCAAGGTGGCATTAACTACTTTCAAGCCCAACAAACTATTTCTCACACTTTTTAGAGAAGATAGTGAGTCAGTAAAGGCCGTAATGGTTGGGAATCTGTACAAACTACAGTGTATCTATTTTAGGACCCTAAGCATTGCTTCAAGCAAATATCAACCACTAAATTATCCTACAGTTAACAATAAATTTGGTATCAATGAGCTTTTTACCAGCCAATGTTATTATGAGCCAATTTAAAACTGTCTTAAATTTTTAATGTCTTAAACAACTTGCTAACCTTACCATCAAAATTTCAGTTCAAAAATAGTTCAAACAAAAATGTATTGGGATTGGGCCTCACTGCAAGAGGAGATTCAGTGTGACAGAGGCAACCAATCGGTTTTACACAAATTTCCTGCTAGTGTTGGACGAGAAGTAGCTTGTCATGTTGTGAAGCACATTGCTCAAAGCTTAAGTATTGCATCTGGCACAGATGACCCTAGCACTCTGCAAGATGAAAAAGATGTTAATTGGACAATGGAGGTAAAAACACTTTACTAGTTAAGTTATCATTAAAAAATGAGAACTTTCTTTTTATTATTTACCCAGAGCTCATGTTTGAATTCCTTAAATTTTTATTGTCATTTTAATCAGTTCCTTTAACTTTCTTTGTTTTTAAGAAGCTATTAATTCATTCTTTAACTTTTCACTTTTAAAAGGTCTTGTGTTTTGGGCTTGGTCTACCTCTTACTGAACATGAAACAATCAACAATTGTGTCAAGGTTTACGTTGAATGGCTCACTGCTCTGTATAACCCTAAACCCTGTGTGCCACGTCCCATCATTGAAGATCCAAACCCTTTTGCTCAAGTTATGTTGCATCATCTTCTTAACCTCTTCACACCTCGTCCAGATTCTAGTAAGTTTTCAAAATATTAAAAAATTAATTAAATTATTAAATTTGCTTAATATGGTTACTCTTATACATTTGCTGCTTAACATTTTTTGCACTAAAATAATTTTATTAAAAATGTTAAAGTTTCAAATGATATAAAAATTCAACACACAAATAGCTCACCAGCTTTCACTTTGCCCTGTGTTAATTTCAAAATTCCTATTAATCCTGCATTATGATAGAAATGGCTGACTATGTAAATTACTATTGTATTTTTTTTTTTAAAAATGATGTTCCTATGCAAAAGGGGTTCTTTTCCAGGGGTGCGTAAAGACTCAGAAAATTTTTATTTGCTACCATTGCTAGTTGTTGATGACTTGTGTTTGTTTAGAAATCAGGTTTATTTCAATTTTTATTAGCAGCAGCAGATGTTTTCGGGGTGAATTTTGTTTTTCGCATTATTTGTACTAGTGCATTTTTAATTTGTTTATAGAATTAATTAAAGAAGTAAAGCTACCGTAACTGAATTATTTTCATATTTATTTATTTATTACAATAATTTTATTCTGAACAAAAACTATATCATTGCCAGCTCCGGATTTGGTTAATAAGCAGGCAGTATTGTGTCATCGTGTGTTGCGGGCTATTGAGACTATGGCTAAAGAATCTGCAATGTTGACAAGAGAAACTTGGGAGGTCCTTTTAAAATTTCTGTTGGCTGCTAATGACAGTCTTTTGAGTCCTCCAACAGAAAAAGGTATTGGTATTCATTAATAAGTTTTTAACAAAAAGAATTTTAATACATAAATGTTATCTTGATTGTTTCAGACCTAATTAATCTAATCTTCCTTGACATAAACACAATTCGCCCTGAATAAATATTAAAAGACTTACACAATCAAAATCATGGAGACTTTGTGACGCATGTCATGCATAAATATATATAATTATTTACATATCAACCAATTTTCTTCAAAATTGTATTGTTAATTTGTAAAGTAATGAATTAATCAAACCATTATTATTTGTACAGTTACTGAAGCTACTAAAATGTGTATTGGCTTATTACATCATTGAAATTTATGAAATTATCACTGTTTCTTAATATTTATTCCTAGAAGTCATATGAAAAGTTCTCATTGTGTAAGCAATAATTAAAAAATGAAAAAATGTGATCAAACATCTGAATAATCTGGTGGTTTGTTTTCTAGTAAAGGCAAAACTTGAAATTTAGCTGTAAAATTCAAAAGTAAAATGTTATTTAGCTGTCAGGCAAAGTGCATGTAAGCTCAAACTAATAGAATTCTACCACCCTAAACTTTTGATAAAAGACATTTTGAAATGCTTATCTTAATTGCATTTTTGATACTGATGCATGATATTTCTTTAACTCCCACTTGGCATCGGACAGATATAATTGGATTGAGTAATGGTAAGATCTTTTTGACTGGCAGAGGTGTGTGGTAGTGAACTCAATAAATTGTATCTTTTTTAAAAATATATTCCAATGCTACTCAGAAAATAACATGTCTCTATGTTTATTAATAAATGTTATTTTCTCATGAGTAATGAAAACTCAGCACTCTGGCTTCCAAAGATTTTAGCTTTAATTTATGAATACATTTTATGTTCTCTTGGTAACCAAAGATTTCTTTTATTTCATTTTTGACACACAAAAGAATATAAAATTTAATTACTCCTGAGTTACAAAAATTTTTCAAGTGAATAGAAAGGTATATTTTTATTCTTTATAGACGAAATAACTTTGCATCCAGAGTGTTACTTTTAAGGCTAATGAATATTTGGGGTTTTAGAAACAATAAGCAGTGATGTTTTTAAAAATTCAATAATAAATTTTTGAACAAATAGATCTTATGATCTTGATCCCAAACATTGACATGGTCAGAGTTCAGTTGTTGAAAAGATCCAGTTCTTTTTGGTTAAAATATTGGACCAACTATTCATGTACGCTTTCTGTTAAAAGCATTCATTTGGTATTTGAAGATCTATGAAAACACTGTTGACATCAAAATTACTGGCATGTTTCAAGAAAATAGTTGTAGAATTTATTGAGGTACATATTCCTCCCCATATCACAGAATAAAATAAATATATTTGTATTATTTTATAAATTAAAGAGATTTCCTGACCTAGCTTTTTTGTGTGTGTAAAACACATGAAATACCAACTGTCATTTCATGGCTGCATAGTAATAAAAGTCAATCATCAAGATCTTTTGAATTTTTTTGTATGTCATAGCTCACTGAATTATTTTTCTGTAGTGCTACTGTCACTTTTTGTTATGGAATTTCTAAAAGTCAGGCATTGTATTTGAATGTTCTCTGAAATAATTTAGTTCAAAGAGCATACTTTATTTTTTTACATAAAATAGTAAAGTATATGATTATTGCAAAAAAAAATTTAAAAAACAATCTCATCTTGCCTCATTGATTTCAACTTTTGTTATTATAAAGACTTCCGTCTCTATTTTGGAAAATGTATATAAAAAAAAAAAAATCTAAGTCTGTATAATGAAATGACCAAATGTTTGTGTCCTGGCCACCTAAAGATATGAATAAAGGATAATATACGAGGGACTGGGTTCAAGCCATACGAAGGAAATAAATACTTGACCAAGAAATGTTTAGGCTTGAAAATAACATGTCAGTTAATTAATAAAGATCTGAAACTAGTTCTAAGCCTTTCCATCTAGTGGGAAATTGAGTAATGTGACATTTAAATTTACATTAGACTTTTTTCCATTGTTAACTAATTACCTGCCAGCTCTGTAGAGAGTTCATTATCATTAACACTTGTTCAGCAAAAAGGTGTTAATAGTTTGTTGTGCATGCTAGGTTATCAAAACGCTGGTCAAGCTTTAAGTTAAAGGTATTCCTCATAATTGTTCAAGTTCTACTGAGAATCCAAATGTATGTGTGTGCATGTGGTGTTCCTGTGATGTTTTCAGTGTTAAATGCTGGTAACTCTGTCAGCAATCATTGGTGTTCTTTACCGTTAATATTTTTACATACACAAGAAAAACAAATGGTTTCATGTTGTAATGACACATGTCCACAATATTTTTTTTTTCATTTATGACCAGCAAAGCTAATAACCAAAATTAAAATTATGCTATCAGTATAACACTGAGCTTTAATCAGAATTATTTATTTAGTTGATATTTTGTATAATTGTTGAACATTTATAACCATTATATCATTTTTAATTGAGCTTCAATTATTTGTTTAGAAAACATTTAAATTTGCCTTTATTAATCATCTGTCAAAGGCTAAACAAGCAACATAAAATATTAATCAAGTATCAAATACTATTATTCCAGTTGTTCACTTACACCATTTTTGTACATACTTACTTCACTGTTTGCTTTTTTTTTTTTAAATATTAGCACTGTAAGCTGCGTTCATACCTCATATATTTAAAACTTAAATTCTGATAACACTGCTGACTAATTTGCTCCTAACATTTATTACATTTCTGTTGTTTAGTGGTTTGATCTTGGCTGATTTGAACTGCAGCGTCTTCTGAACTTTTATTTTTTTTTCATATAAAGAGATACAGTATTCAAAGTATGTGTTTATAGTATTGGCATGTTTGTTGTTAAAAGTTTGATACTGGGCTATATCTTGCTGCGAGCTATATTTTAGAATTATATTTGCCACTAGAAGACAAGTGACAGATTAATGAAAACAACATGAATTTTGATCGCTTTCATCTTCACTTACACCAAACGTTATAAGCTAGGCGCTTAGAAATTATTAACTAAGCAATGTCACAATGTGCTTAATATATAATTTTTCTGTAACATATATTCACATATATCTGTTGCTTAGCCACTTATATTAGCTATTTAAAAGATATTTCTGTCTGCCTTTTTTTTTTGCTATTTTCTTTGTTAATGCTAATTTTCATGATTATGAAATTTTTAAAGCATCATATACTTTAGTGGTGGTAACTATAACATTGAAACATTTTAATGATAAGACTATATCTTCAACTTAGGTTCCCTTAAAATATGAAGCTAAATGGATTGAAATTAAAACTTTTATGATTTTAGGAGACAAACAAAAACAAACAAAAAATTTTATCAGTAAATTATAAATTTATTTTAGAAATGTAAATGGCTGCAGAGTTGTTCATTTTTTTCCAGTTTCAAACCTCATAAATATGAGAGGTTTCAAACTCTGTTAGCTGCTATTTAAAAAATAATTTAAAAAAAAAACGGCTAGTATTTATAATAATATTTGTATTACTAAGTGAACTACTGATTTTTCTATCAACTAAGGGAAATAACTCTGGAGTTAGAAGTGTTTTCTCTTAGCATGTATTAACATTTAACATTGTGTTAATTATCAATGCACTTTAGTGTGTAGAAAGGCTTAAGTCAGGGAATTTATGTAAACAATTAAGTGTGTATGAGCTCATCACAGAGAAGGTTCTGTGGACTTTATCCTGTCGGGTGTATTTTATTCTTCAAAGTTATTAAATAAAACATATTGCGTGGTCAATATGATGCAATACATAGAATTACTGTCTCATGATGGGTAATTTCTAGAATCTAATATTTGTAAAAAGTGTGTGCCACATAATGCGTCCATGTTCTCAGCTGATGTCATTTAAGTAAGACAACCTTTAAACATGGCTATTCTAAATTCAGCAGTGTTTCTATGTTAATCATTTTGTGGGAGGTTTTGTAAACACTCTTCAATCTCTATATTTTACATCTTCCTTTCTTTCAGAATTTTAACATGTGTTTTGATAATCCTGCAAACTTTATGGACTTTTTATTCATGAACAGCACAATACTATTCTAAACAATGATATCATCAAATAAGAATTTAATGAAATGTTATAATTTTATTTTTTTAACGGCTATAAAAAAATAATTTTTTCAAATATATTATTATTTTATTCAGAATTAGCACCTGTTGAATATTTTTCTGCATAAAAGCCATTAAGAATGATATGCATGTGCAAAATACTGGCCATGTATTATTCAGATAAATGGTTTTAGGAATATCTGTAAACTATTTTGCCCATCTAAAATTTGTTTCATATATCAACTAGATGACATCAGTGACCATCTATGTGACCGAGTTCTAAGTGTCTTGTTCATGGTCTGGGTTATTGCCTGCCACAAGAGCTTCCCTTCTCCTTCATTATGGAAGACCTTCCGCAATATGTGTCTATACTGGCGACACCATGAGGCGCTTGTGACAATGTGGCATCGTGTCAACCATGCTCTGACTGCTAGTATGCTAAAGGTCATGTATGGACCAGATTTTCCAGAAATGGCAATAAGTATGATATAAAGCTTTTAGCACTTAAAATTTGAATAGTTAATTTCAGGGTGGGGGTTGCTGTTTGTCATGTGTTACAATAACTGCAAGAAACCTAAAGAAGACTTAAACTTCACTGGTATCAATTTTACTATCATAATTATTCCTCTTAATTTATTAGAATTGATAGTTTTATTTGAAAATTGTAAATTTGGATTCTCAGATTCCTATTTACTTAAAAAGTGACAAATTTTAACATTATTTATTAAATGGCAATTCTGTGAATCAATTTGCCTTTTTAAATTAATCTTTCAACTTGTTTTGTTCCATTCCTTTTTTTTTATTTTAAGCTTGTTTCGTGTAATGTTTTGCTTCTGTTTTATGAGTTTTTTTACCATATTTAGTTTAGAAATAAAATACTTTTGAAAGCAAATGAATTGAAAGTGCTACATCTTCTCTCAGGTTGCCTACAAAATAATTTGAGAATTTTATCTCTCTGCACATAAGGTGAAGAAGAATCACAACTACTTCCTGCTGACATGAGCAATGAATCAATCGCACAGTGTTGGTTTCGGTTCCTCCACATTCTTCAGAACCCTGTAGACCTGAGTCGACCCAGTGTGGTGAGCAACACTCCCAAGTTCTTGCAATATGCCCTGACAAGTGAAGCTGTCATAGACCCATCTTATCATCCATGTTTGGCTAGATTACCTGTTGTCTTCTTGAAGGCTATGAAAGGAATATCAGCCATGGTAAATGCCTTCTTAGGTGAGATTTTTAAAAATTTACACATATATAGGCCCTGTCATTAATTGTATACCTATGACAATTTTAAATGTATATTTGTATTCTTAATTAATTAACTGATTTTATCTTCTAAATATGAGTATTCATTGGGTTGAACAAAATTTCTGAAGAATTATTTTAAGACGATCTTTATTATTTAAAATTGATATTTTTTAAAGAAATTCATGTTTACCAAATTCTATAACTCCTTAGCTAGCCTGATAGGGTGTTAGTGTCCTTTATATGACAATAAAAAGGAGATTACACATTTTAAAAATCTAATCATTTATTTTGTCAATGACCGTTGCTTAAACCTTTTAGCCAGAAAACTTTGGGTAAACATGAACAGTAATAAGGGCAGAAATTTAAAAATGACTATTCATCGATTCAGTCCCCTGGCATCTGCTGATTTGAAATTAACAAAATTTTTAAAGAATGTTTTAAAAAATCTTAAATGTTTCCTTTGATAATTGTTCCTTCTTTTCCGGAACTTATTTTTATCTAAAATTTGAAAACTTTCAACCCAGGTCTGCCACAAGAGCTGAAAATGGAAACATCAGTCAGTGATATACAGTCTAGCGTAATGGGAAATAAAATGGTTACCACACCATCCACCCCTCCAGGACAGAGACGAGCAGCTAAAACTATATCTGTTTTAACTGGAAACTTGGCCACAAAAGGTAAGCAATAGCAGAAATAAAAATAATGAAGCATGCTATTTTAATCATTTTTATAATGTTGAACATATAAAATCTTTAACTTTTACTATGTTTACTCTAAAATACAGATTGCCAGATCAAATAATTCATTAATAAAATGCATGTTTAAAAAAATTCAACAATTTTATTTTTATGAAGAACAGTTGAAGTTATGTTTAAAGACATTACATATAAAAATTCAAATTGTGTTTGGTTAGTATCTTCCAAGGCTCATGCAGCAAAGAGCATTGTTGCTCCACCAGTAAACAGTACCAATGTAGAGAAACTTATATTGGATACAAGATTACCCTATGCTCCAAAACGTCCTAAGTGTAACAGCATACTCCATCTGTTTGACGCATGGCTGTTTGATGCTGCCCTGGCTGGAGTTAAGCTTCACCCAGCTCATGCTGCGCCTGGTATTATTATTACTTAATTTTTTAATTGTACATTCCAATATAAAGATTTTATTTTTTTTTTCGTAAAATAAATAAAGTTCTTTCATATAATTTAATTTATTTTGATTTTAAATTATGAATAAAAAGTGTTTAGATTAAATTAGAAAAAATGTATTATATTATTTTGTATGCAACATTATCATTTATAAATGTTTTCCAGGTCAAATTTTCTTTTTTTCTTTTTTTTTTTTTTTTTCTGCAACATACACTTGTATGTCAAAACAATTTGACATGTGCATTAAAATGATAATGTGATATATTTGGCTACTGGGCTCATAACTATGAGGCTACTTAGCCATATATTTATTTCCCTGACAAGCTATTTCTTCCAGTAAATTTAGAGGCCTACTATTTCATTTTTACAGTAAAGGAGCGCAGGACGAGTTCTTTTATTGAATCCAAGCACAGTTCCCTGTCTATGGATCTTAACACAGACCCGAGTCAGACAAGGGATGTAGCCTACCAGGCTGGACGGGCTGAAGCATGTGGAGCTCTTTGTCGCATCTTCTGTGCCCACAAGACAGGGGAGGTCATTCTCCCTGAATACTACTCCCGTTTTTATCTAATCATGTATTATGGTTTACAGACAGATGAGGTTAGGAAATCCGCAATTTAATATTTATTAACATCAATGCTGTGTTTCCCCTTTATTTGTAAATAAAATATCAAATTCTTATGATATCATGCAAACTGGATTAATTTTTTTGCAAAATCTAAAAACTGTGTTATGTGTAAAACCTTTCATAACTAATTAAAATTGTCACTATAATAATAGTAATCACAGAAAGTTTAAGAATGATTCCTCTGCTTATTTTTTTACTAAACCTGGGGTGAATTTTCAAAACCCCATCGTCAATGGACTTTATTATATTAAAAGTAGGCTCTTTTTTCTGTGAAATGTTTGCAATGCAGAACCAGTAAAACCAGTAATCTCCTTAAGAGTTTGATTATAACTGTTAAAAATGGTAGCACAGTATTTCCAAACTCAATTTTACTTGATTTGCTTTATAAGAATAGATTCTTATAAAATTATCATGCATCTTCAAAAAAAAAATTAATTTCCATGCTGCACAAAAAGGTTGCCCACCCATGCTTTTAGGTATTAGATAGACCGAATCATTCACTGGAATGTTAGAGGTCTTTGCATGGTATATGTCATATAATATGTTTATTTAAAATTGGACTGTAAAAGCTCAGTATTGTATTTTTTGTCACAGAGTACCATTAGTGGTGAAGTGCTGTCAAATATACTATTCAACTCCTGTTCATTGCTACGTGTTGATCTGGCTGGAGTCCAGCTATTGCTGCCATATATTTTGAGGGCCATTGAGTTAGTTTTGAGCAAAACAACCCCAGACTTCAAGTAAATATAACATTTTCCTAAAAGACTTACTCAAAATTTTTTACACCAGTTAACTTACTGTACAATATATGTACAACTTTTCTTGATTAATCAAGTATGTATTTTCCATTTCAGGCTATGTGAACAGATTCCTTATTCAGAGCTTAGAAAAGCGTGCATCCATTTACTGATCTCAATGCTTTGTTTGCCGCTACATTTTAAAGAACTAGAAATAAAAGGTATTTAACTTATCAGATTTAAACCATAAAAAGTATGGGATTTATTTTTTTTTTGTTTTTAGCAACTGAAAACTTATTTTCAATCATTGTCTCCAGATATTTTAAAGAAAGATGATGGTCAACCTCAAGTTACTTTCTTGTCCTTACGGACGCGTATCACGGAACTAATAAGGGTTGCCTTAACTAACGAGACAGACTCACAAAATACTCAAATGCTGCTTGGTAAATATGATTTTAGAATGTGATAGAATTTAATAGTTATCATTTTGCACTCAGTGGCCCTTTATTTAATAGGTTTTTGGATCCCCCCCCCCCTCTCGCTTAAATATGTGGAGCTTAAATTTACTCCAGAAACATTGACTAACATTTAAAGTTTCAACTGTTTCCTGGATTGAGGTAATTTAAGCTCCTTTGTTATTGCCTGTTTTTTATTTTATAGGTTTTTTGTACCCCCCCCCCCCCTCGCTTAAATATGTGGAGCTTAAATTTACTCCAGAAACATTGACTAACATTTAAAGTTTCAACTGTTTCCTGGATTGAGGTAATTTAAGCTCCTTTGTTATTGCCTGTTGCCATTAATATACAGATACCCGGTCATTTATTTTATTCATTTGGCATTGAATTTAGAATATGAAAAGGACATGTAATTAAATTCTGACTTCCAGGAGGTTTTCTGCTGGTTGTTGAAGATTTGGCCACAAGTGAACAAGCTGATAATCTCCCTTTACAGCCCCACCAAGATGTTAGTGACTCTGACATGCAGGGAGGTAAGCAACCTCGGATATTAAACACAGCGTAAACCGACTAATCAAGAAAGCTAGACATTTTGGATGACACATCCCACCCTCTTCATCACAGATACTTAGAATCGGCCAGTTCGAGACGAATTCTTTCTGTCAGGGCGAGGACTGAAAGATATAAAAATTATTTTATTTCTCAATCTGTACGAATTTAACAGCTTGCTCCCCCTAAAGTCACACATCTTAATGAGAACTATTAAGTCCCTGATATGGCTAAGAGAACTCACTGAATGGCTGGTTTTTTTGGGGTTTTTTTTTTACTAATGAAATAATTTATTAATATAAATGTCTTGTGTTCAAATTGTTTTATTTATGTGCTGAAAATGTACAATGCAATCATAAAACATTTCCATTTGTTTTGATCAATAAAAGAATCTTATCTTTTAAATTCATCCTGGTGTTTATGTTTTGACATTTTTATACCAATTTCCATAATCCTAGAGAACTTAAATTTGGTATTGACACACCACATAACAATTTATGTTATTTATGAATTTATAAATGAATTTATAAATGAATTTTTAAATTCATGTCAAAATGGCCAATTTCTTTGTTCAGTTAGGTTTTAAAAAAGTTTCAAAGCCTATCAAATAGCATATTTGTGTTTTTAAGTTCTGCATCTTCTTTAGGGCTGTTTGTTAATCCATCTAAAATTTTAAAATGGGAAAGTTTTGGGTCTTGGGTTCAATTGCTGGTCTAGAGTTTTGAATCATGGGTTCAGTTGCTCGTTTAGGGCCATTAAAATCTTCACATATGGTTTACTTTTAAAGTTGCTATCTCTGACCATTTTTTTCACAAATTGCTTCAAGAAATTTCTATGATTTAATGGTGCTATTAAAAGATTTTAAAAAAAGTAAATTGGTCTGTCCAGTTAAGAAGATCATTAGCTTTTATTTCTCCCTTTACTTGTGAAATTTTGTAACAAAATATATATGGTATGAAATACACATTTGATTTTATTTTAAAAATTTTTGAAAAATGATAACCATGAGCTATAAAACAAACTTTTCAGACAGTAGTAAAACAAGCCCAAGTACCACATCCACTGACACCAGTGGTTGCCAAGAGAACAGCAGATATCAGGAAACAACATATCAAAGACTACAGGCTCCCCCTCCTACCAACCTCGGTAAATCAACAACAGTTTACTAAAGCTTGGGTGGTGGTAACATTTTGGAGAGATTCATTCTAAATCTTAATTACACATGTAACTAAACATTTAGGATAAGAAAATGATTGATGGCAACTTTAGGTAATGACTATTCAAAATTTAAAAGTGAAGCCCTACTACATATTTTTTAACTTTCCTTATTGTTCAAGTTCAATAACCCAAATCTTTGTCTAGTCGAGAAAACTAAATCTCAAGGATGAAAAAAGATTAATTAAAATGTTAAAATTCCATTCAAGGAACACTGTTGTGTTTTGTTCATATACAAACTATTTTATAGATACTGCATATGGACTGTTTGGTCATGCTACATCTCTTGTCTGTAACCGGCTGATGGCTACTTGGAAAACTGACCTAAATGTTGCCCTGGCAGCAATGGAACTATTGGCTGGGTTAGCCAAGGTGAAAATCAAACCAGCCAACATGCTCATGTGCAAGCGAACTGTGAAATGGATGTGTGATCTCATTGTGTACCAAGTGAGTGGGATAGGAATGGTACTTTCTATTCTAAAGATTGAATTTTGGAATGCCAAGAAAACTGAAAACTGTGTTTGTTTGGAATTATCATTATTACACATTATCTCCTCCACGGCTTGTCAATTTCATATCAACAAAAATGTAGCTTGTGTATCACTTTTCAATGTTTGTATATTTTTTAACATTAAGTAAATATTTGGTGAATTGACCAAATGAATAAATTTTGCTAATTTTTCTATCACCTTTCCATCTCAGTTTAATTTTAGGAATAAAGAATAATATCATTTTTACATTAGGAAAATGTTTATTTGGTTCAAAATTATTTGTTTTACTTTTAATTGATTTTATTTGATAATTTAATTAGTTGATTATAATGTGTATTTTAAACCTTTTGGGACGGAGCGTTTTTGAACTGTCGGTGCCAAGAAGACAGAGCCCTTTTCACAAGCCCTGCTTTTACTTTGCAAAAACATTTATAAAAAATAAACTAATTACTTTACAAAAATAAAACTATAAATATTCAAGTATGGAATTGAATGAAATAATGCGTTCTTTATGAATCAAACTGAAATTTCAACATTTATGCAAATGAAAAAAAATTTATATTAAATGACAGAACACCGTAAACTATCAATGACAGCCGCCATTAAAATGGGGAGAAATGCGAGAACCAATCTGATTACCTGGTACACAGACCAGCCAGCTGATCTCGAGGCTTTTATTATTGGGCAGATATTTCGGCCTTTCGTTTTTTTTTTGCCATAACACTCTGGGCCGATAGATCGGCCCAGCCGTCCCATGAGGGTAAAAGCACATTAGATTTAAGACTTCTAAATAATGCATTTTAAAGAAATCCATGAAGTGAGGGAAACAAAATTGTTACTGTTAGATAATAGTAACATTTAGACGTCAAAAATTAATTTTATTTGTTGTTTTTCTTTCTTTATGATTTTTAAAAAAATGTATTTTGTTAAAGAGCTTAACTAAATGGAAATAAATTAATTTATTAAACACATGAACTATAAAAGTCAGTGTATTTTTGATGGAGTTAAGAGTAAGGGAGGAGAGGGGAGAAAGAGAAGAGCTTCTATAAGTTAGTGTAGTGGTTAGTGGTGGAAGGATATGGGTATAGGTTTGGGGAGTGATGGTGCTGAGGTTTGTGGTTGAGAATTAGTTGTATGGGGAAGGGATGTGGTGAGCTACATTTACATAGGTTTAATGCAACGTTGATTAGATTCTCTTTTAGAACAATTTGATCACCTGCAAAATCTGAAGAATAATTGACATGAATGTTGTCCATTTCTATCCCAGTGTTCCAGACCAGCACCAAGCCACTCTAGAGATCTCCATTCTATGCTGTGTGCAGCCTTCAAGTGCTTACAGCTGTGGCTTGTGGAGCACAGCTCACTTCTCTATGACAGGGAGTGCCTGCACCAGGTCCTGGAAGTTGTAGAGTTGGGCATCTCAGGATCAAAGTCACAGGTGACATTCTAATCATTATGTTAACATAGTTTTTTTTTTTGTTGTTCCTCATTTATTATTCGCATTCTTTTCATTCTTGGCTGCCACACTTTATTACATGGGAGATGAAATAATGTTAAGAGACTGAAGAGAAAACATATTTCCACAAGAGATTAGAAAATTCATTCGCAGCCTGTGTAATTATTGTTAATTTTTAACCTTTTAGTAGCATGTAAATAGTTTACCGCCCCCCCCCCCCTTTTTTTTTTTACAAAAAAAGTTTGTATGGTGTTATGTAAGTCCTTTATTTCAGACCTGTTTACTCTTAGGATTTGGCGAACAATGTATGATTTTGATATGTCTTATACAATTGTATGCCGAGACCCATTAGGACTACGATTTTAGGAAACCCGGTTTGAAAATATGTACATTCCGGTAGTTTTTTTCCCTGATTAAAAATATACTTAATTAAAAAGTACTTCTTCTGTTATTAGTTTTAACTTGCATTTGCATTCTACATCAAGCAGTGAATGGATCCAGAAATAAAATGGGTTGTGGACCATCTATAATTATATTACTTTTTTCCTAAGAGGGGAATAAAGTTTCGTTGATTTAGACTTACATTTTGTGTTGGGGGAGGCGGGGGGAGTCTTAATATTTAAGTATCTAAAATTAACGCCACCACATTTTTGGATGATAGTTTTTGGGGATGGGAGGTGTCTTGGCAGAAAGTATGTAAGTTATTCAAAAATTCTACAATATTCATCCTGAAAGTCCAAATATAGCATATTTATGGCAATGTTTGGTAGGAATTATTGCCATGTATTTTCACAAATGAACTTGCTAGCTATTCTCAGATAGTACTCAGTAACAGAGGTATTACAGCAGGAGTCTTGAACTGGGCCAGCGATATGATATTTTGCCACCCGCTACATGACAGCAAAGTTTAATGTTAATGCGGCCCGCTCGTTTTCCCCATTCTCATATCTGTAATGTGACCCTCCACGACTGTTTCAGTCTAATTTCACCGACTAGTCCAATTCTGATTTTTATTATGTTTGTATAGATTTGGACGTTGATTATGATGGTCAAAACCGTTTTAAAATCTAACTAAAGGGTTTTATTTTATGGTATTTATGAGACAAACATTGCCAAAGTGCGGTTTTATCAAAAGTTTAAAAAGTCAGTTAATGGGTGACAAGCTCTTTTTCACTTTGAAGTCAAAGTTCAGGGCTGAACTTACTGATGAGCGTCTTCAAGCAAAACTGAGAGTCACAGTTGTTTCCTCACTCAAACCAAATGTTGCTTAGCTGTGCAAGAAGAAGCGCTGCCTGGCAACAAGGAGTAGAAGGAAAAAAGTGAAGCCTAGTTCATGAGAACCTTAATATTTTTATTTGTTATTAATAAAGATTGAGGGAATTTTAACAATTGTACTTTATTTAATTTGTAATCGTGTTTTTGTGGGATACTTGATGCGGCCCAGTCTCACTCAGACTATATCTCCTGCGGCCCCCGGATGATTTGAATTTGAGACCCCTGTATTACAGTAATATTTAGACTACTGTCTTCAATGTGCTTGTGACATAAATTTAGTTGGACTACACCAGTGGTTCTAAAATTTTAGTTTCCTGGCGCCTAAGCCAAATTTGTGTGTTCACCAGGCTCCTAGTGTTAAATTCTAACTAGTGCACTACAAAATAGGGCACACATAAAAAAATAAAATAAAGGTTTGTGTAAAAATAAGTATAAAATGTATGTAGGTCACTAAGCGCCATCTAGTAGCTGCTAGCAGTAGATACTCAAGTGGGAAACTGTTTGCACCATGACTAAAAGATGTTAGATTGGATTAAAAGTGGAATTAAAAAAATGAAAATTTTGTAATATCTTGTAACATCACTGTGAGGAAGCCGTAGCAAGCTATTTATAGAAAAATGTGCATCCCCAGGGGGGACCAGTAAAAGGAATATTTTAAGTGCCCCTTGTCTTTGTGAAGTCAGTGGGATTTTATAGTTTAATTCACTCTCAAGGTCATTTCTAATGACGATTTTGGCGCCCCCTGATTTTGACACCTGTTGCTTCTAGCCCCATTCTCATGGCCCTACCTGGTAGTTTATTTTTTGTAAAAGACCCCCCCTAATTTTTAAATTAATTATTATCTTAAAAAATTGTATTTTATGCTGTTCTGACTTCGAGTTTACCTGTGACAGACTGTAATAATGTGATCTGCACGTTCGCCTTATTATTATTTAATATCTATAGTCAATACATGTTTGCAAAACAAAGTGACCGCAGACTGAAATATAAACTTCAGTCATCTACTTTTAGAAGTTACCTTTTTCGACGCCAGCTTAACTCGATTCCAATAGTCAGTCAATGCGAGTAAGTATTGTATACATTATATTTGCGGTGTTTAATTTATTATTAAGATACTGTACTGTACGATTTTGAGACGATATTGTACAATTTTTGGAGTTTGAGGGTAGACAGGTCTGTCATTTTATCTCACCTATACTTATAATTTGTATTTCCTTTATCAAGACCAACAGAGATAAAAATTATTTCAATTTCCCATTTCACCATTATAATCCTATCTTCATTCATTGCTATTTTATACATTTTCCTCATGATGCGTATAATTTTTTAAAATTACATTTTTTACTGTTTTTGAAAAGTATTTTTAAATAATTGAGCAGATCTGCCACTGACTTCCACCAGTCATGTTGGCAGCATCAGCTAAGTAGCATTGATCAACAAAACAGCTTCTGGTGAATGCATTGACAGCCAGTTACAAATACAAATGAATGAAAAGAAATGAGTGAAAAAATTAAAACTTGTAATTTATCAGCTAGATGACTCAGTGCTTATAAGGACTTATACTTATATCAATGAGAGGATTGAGAAACCAACACTTAATTGTTATATAAATTCGTTTTCTGTCAACAATTAATTCAGACTTACCGAGAGTCTTGAAACTCACATCCTCACAGGGTATTCTTTTCCTCAATCAGCTATCCAAAGCTGCCCTCAATCTATAAATGAGCTATCAATGTTGCCTGCATTCCATAAATCAGGTATCCTACACTTCAAGCAATCTATCAACCTTGGCTCTCCTTGATTACTTATGTACACCATTGGGCCTGCCTGCGGGCCTTGCAGCTCAAGGTGTAAATCTAATAGTTAAAACTAAGCGATCTGATGGTGGTACACTTCTTATATAACTGGAGCTTAGAGATGAATGGTTTTAATGTGATGTACCACAAACGGTGCTTGTTGGCATCACCTGTCCATAAATGGGACTATTCATTCATCATTTAGTCAAGTGCTTACTCGTAGAAGTCTATGATTTTTGTTCCAACAGACTAAACAATTGTCAGCAACTTTAATATTCACTACTTTTTAAAAAAGAACTGGAATAATGAATTAAAGTTATTAATGAGTAAATTCTTATGAAAGTGCATGAAATTCTCTCTTCAAATGTTGCATTAACTCCAGGCCAGACCCAATGCAGGCAATCAGCTTTACCCATGGAGTCGACTGGTAGTAAGTATAGTCTGGGCTACCTATTCACATACTTGTCATTGAACAGCTTCCTAAATATTGCTTTCAAAAGCAACATAAAATCCACAACAGCAAAAAAAGGCTTGTTTTGTACAAAAATGTATAATATGTTGTACAGACAGCTGATACTTTTTGCTCATAAAGAAAACTTCTTTGATTATGCTTCTACATATAGCTATTTTTATAATTATTTTTATCCACATCTATTAAACATTATTTGTGTACCACAAAACACTATGAAAGTGGGAGTTAATTCCACATGTGGCGTCTTTGGCAACAGGTTAGCAGATGTCATCACAGCTTGTATTCTTTTTGCAGGAATGTCAATATTTTTTTTTATGTTTGTTCAAGATTTGAAACACTGTTTCTGTGGATTATTTATAAATGTTTACTTTACTGTTTCACTTGTACACATCCTGTTAATTCTATTGTGAGTCAGAGTCACGAGTAAGATTGACCAGTTTTGCAATCTTGAAATTGTTAGGATCGACCAGGGTTGCAATCTTGAAATTGTTTTAAGGATTGAAAATAATTAGCCTCATCAACTGTATCATGTGTCAACTGATTAGGGGATGTAACTTTAAGTTGAAACATGAAGTTTGTAGAGATTCAGATCATCAGATCAATTTAATATTACTTAGATTGCTTTCTAAAAATATTAACCAATCATTCATTTAGGTCTGTGTGACTTGAAACCCTTTATTTATTTTTTACACTGATAGAATAGTATAAATGTTCTAACAAAATGCTTATATTAAAAAATCAACTAATACCAAATTATGCTTCAAATGTATTTATTTAGTACAAATTCAAACTCAGGTAAATTTTCCTTTCCTTTCTTCCTTTCCAAAGTAAAAATGATTTTCAGGGTCGATTAATTTTGATGAGCGATATCTGCCTAAGAAAGTTATGAATAAGTAATTGCAATAAAAGTTTTTGTTTATTCTCTGAAATAGCAAGCTAAGCTATTAATGTTATGGACAGTGTTTGGGATTAAAAAAAAAAATCTTTTAGATGCATCCATCTGACAACAACCCGGAGTTCTTTCTAAGGAAAAACTGATCATTTTATTTTTCATTTCATTTAGTCTACTGGTCACTAGAATGATATCTCAAATGGTGACTAGAATGATATCTCAAAGTTCAATTGAATTCCAATATATTTAAGCTCTACTGACCTGTCTACATTGCTGCATACATTTAAAGTGCTTTAACATTACTTACCCCCTAAATTATTTTCTCTTAATCTACTTATTCTAGCCCCATAGTAATCAATTACTGATGAACTTATTTTAACAACATTAAATAACAGAATTATGTGCATTAAATTTTATCGCCTCTTCCATTCTCTTAAAAAAAGTCCATATTTAATTCACCCAGAAGCATTGACGGGTCATTAAAGTTATGTCTTACTACAGATACAACATTATTTTGTTCAGTTAATTGTAGTTACTTTATAATGAATCTTTACTTAATATGCTGGTTGTGTCTTTTAAATACATTACCACCCACCTGCTATGCACTAGTGGAAATTTTTTTTTAATGCTTTCTGGATAAAACCATTTAAAAATTATAGTTTTGTTTAAAAATAATTGGTCTTAGAGCAATGACAAGTTGCAAGCTTTAAAAAAATGATAATTTTATTTTGCTACTAGTTTCTTCTTCTTATTGTTTTGCATATTTTTAAATTTAGGAATCGTCCTATGCTATAAAAATTAAATGAAACCATTTTTTATGTATAGAATACACACCATAGACTTTTACTCAGAAAGGACTTTGTATTTTCTTCATTAAATCCAAAATATAAATGAATATGACATTACAAAGCTTACTAACATCAGCCAAGCCACCTATTATAGTGGATGGGACTTAAATCTCATAAATATGGCTTATACAACCGATGTGACAAATCCTTGAGTGAATAGAGAAGAGCTATTTTGGATCTGACATTATCCAATGACCTCTGACATTATCCAATGAACTTTACTGTTAATTATTTTTGCACCAGTTTTTTTACTCTGTATTAGTATTAGTTTATTATTTTAGTTAATAATCAAGATGGAAGCATTTTTAAAAAAAATAAAAATAACGAAGTTTTTATAAGTTATACAAACAATTTTTTTACCTGATGGGCTGCACATTTTGTTTCTGGTGAACCTTCCACGACCATTACTTATTGTGAATAAAGCAATCCCATTTTTGTCTGCATACCTTTTTTTTTTCAAATAACAATAAATTAACTATCCCATAAATTAATCCTTTCAATTGAAATTATTACTGAAATAAATATTTATTAGGTTTATCTATTTTTTTTTATGTGTCATTTAGACATTGCGATGAACTCAATATTTTTTAAGTGTTTCCTTTTTTAATTTTTTTCTTTTATTTTGTGCAAAACTCAACTTCTTCTTTCAGACTAAAACACAGGAAATGCAAACAGTTAAAGTGAAAATTGACAAGGATTCTAAATCTGTGTCAATGAAGGTATATTAAGGTCCATTAGATTCCCTTTTATCATATCTGCTGATGGCAGGTTGTTTACATTTCACTAGAAAACCCTGTAGTGCTTACCCCCCTCTGGTGGCCGTCCCATTGTCTTTTCACGGCTTGCTTGTGTTGTTTGGTGCTCTGATTTGTCCACTGTTTCTAGTGCTCTCTGTCTCACTTAGGTTAACAATGAATGGTGAAGCGTTTTAGAATTAACAGTAGATGGACATGATGAGTAGGTTTGTAGACTAAACAACACATTAACATATTAGGCCCATCATTGAAACTGACATGGATGGTATGCAAATATTTTTCACCAGCATATTATCAATCACAAAAGAATGAAAAAGTCGCCACTGCATCTTAAATTTATAGAAAATTTTATTTATATATCGTAAATTTATAGAGAATTTTATTTATATATCCTAAATTTATAGAGAATTTTATTTAAATATCCTAAATTTAGAGAATGTTTTATAAGGAGATAAAAGCATAACAGTGATAAGTAACATGGAAGTCTCAGGGGTTATTCTCCCTTTGATGTGTTTATATTACCTTAGAACTGATTTACTTTCATTATAAATTGATTTTTTATAATTTAATATTTAATCTTCATGGTTTGTAGAAATAAATAATTTCTTTACAGTACTTGATCATTCATAGAGACGAATGCTTTATGGGTTGGATTAGATACTAACCTACTAAACTATATTGACTATTAATGTTTGAGTGGTTGAGTAGTGCATGAAACAAGTAGTTTGAAGAGATAAAGTAGCCAAAGCACCTTGAAAATGTGCATGAACATTAAACAATACCTTAAAATGTAGCTGAGTAAAGACTGGAAATACAGATATATCATAAGCTGCATTAAAACTTTTGGAGACAATGTCATAACCATGATTCTGCATAAAATCCTGTCTATTTTGGGGCGCGTAGTTTAGGATTTAATCTGGGTTCAAATGTTTAGTGATAAGTTTTATTCATGTCCTGAATTTTAAAGAAGGAGAAAAAAACAAAGCAATGTATCCATGTTATAACATAATTTGAAATGTTTCAATTAATGTGTGTATAAGCCCCACTATCACTCATATGATGCAAGTCTGGTTTATAATTTTAATACGGATGGTGCTCTTAATAATCAAATTAAGTCTTCTTTTTTTCCCTGGTTCTGAAAATATAAATGCAATGGTGTTAAACTTAGTAATGGTGTTAACCTTAGTAATGGTGTTAACCTTGGTGATGGTGTTAACCTTGGTAAGAGGCAATCCATTTAAAACCAAACTTCAATACATTGAGGTGGAAACCATGATCATTTTTAATAATATAAAATTGCTTTAGGGTATGGGTATTTATTTTAGATTCATTGAATATAGGCAACAAAAAACTCCCATTAAGTTAACGAGTTTACAGAGCATTTTACACCAACAGCAAGTTACAATTTGTAGAATTAAAATAAATAATTAATTAGTTTTCTTAAACAAGCCCACATACTTCTTTTGTTGCAACTTTCAAATATATTTATCTATGGCTAACATGTCCAATGTTATAGAATGCCATACTTTCACCTTTACTTGCACTGCTGTTTATAAAAGTTAATTAAAATTTTATTAAAATTTTTTACAAATACAGTAATACCTTGTGCATTCGCAATTGGGTTTTCATTTTATCCAAACTAATTTTGATTTCTTGATATTTTCATTTTTGCAAATTCCTTGAAAAACCCTGCAAAATTGTTTATGCTTAATTTTTAAATTAATTTTAAAATGTTCATGCTTTTAAGGGTAAAATCTGTATGAATATTTTGTAAACAAAAAAGTTAAAGACATACACAAATCAGTTAAGAAATTCCTACGAAAAAACTTCACTCTCCTAGTTTAGAGTCCAATTCATTGTTAAACTTTAGAAATTAGCATTTTTAGTGACTTTTACCAAATATTTGCTATTCCTCCTGATCCACGATGGGTTGTGGAACCTAACCTCATGAATGTTAAAGGTATTACTTTTGATCTGTGAAATCATTCATTGCTGGGCAAAAATTATTGTTCAGGTTAGTTTATAAATGGCCTCTCCTCAGCAAGAGGGTTAAGTTAAAAGCAGTCACCCTCCATTGCTTTTGCAAATTAATTACAATTTTCGGTGAAAACTTTTGAATTTATTTAATAATATTAATGAAGGTTGATAGTTTGGGAAAGATTCAACAGTCCGGTTCTGTAAATATTTTAACTCTGTGAAAGGAGAGCACCTTAAATTAAAGTTTTGTCAGTTTTAATAAAACTAAAATTCCTGCAGAGTTGATAATTATAATATACATCACTGTATTCCTGATCACTGTGTGGGTGAATAACATTCAGAGATAATATTCTAACAAAATAATTAAATTTCCAATTTTTCTGGTGTTAGATCTAGACCCCAACCCGTGGGCAAAGTACAAGTTCCCATAAAATGTGATCATAACAACTCTTGGTGTTTGGGGAAAGGGCATGTATTTACTACAATGTTTGTTCTTTTGAGACTTAAGATTTTTATAATAATATTTAAATTTTAGAAAATATTTCTCAGATCTTATAGAATTTATAAATGTTAAAGATAGCTTTATGTGTTCCAGCGTGCCTTGTTTTAATGCAAATTTATTTAAACACATTGAAAAGTATTGTTAAAAAAAAAATCTGTAGTGAAGGTTTAATTTAAAACAAAAAATGCTTTGCACATTTTCTAATTCACTTACTGACTAAATCCACAAGTGACTTTCTTTCTGTAATGACCTGGTATTGGTCCTAAATCCTCAAGTAAATTTCTTTCTGTAATGACCTTTATTGGTCCTAAATCCTCAAGTAAATTTCTTTCTGTAATGACCTGGTATTGGTCCTAAATCCTCAAGTAAATTTCTTTCTGTAATGACCTGGTATTGGTCCTAAATCCTCAAGTAAATTTCTTTCTGTGATGACCTGGTATAGGTCCTACACAAAGATGTAAACATTTTTTTAACGGAAGTAAATAATTTCAATATGGCCTTCCTGAGGTTTCTCAGCTTAGAGAGGTCTCTTGTCTCACCCTGTGATGTCACCTTGGCAAAACTAAACAATATCCTTAAGATGAGTGGTGTTTCTTGTGAGTGACAGTAAATATTTGAACCAAATATGTCGGTGTGTAAATTTGAGGACCCTGTGAATGTGACGCTTCCCTGCCCTGATTTCAGTTGATAATCAATGTATCAGATCATCTGTCACCATAAATAAACACTATCTAATTTGTATCAAACTTTTCTTTATATCTATATTTGTTATCTTTCAATCAAGCTTAAATATAGTTTTGTTTTAAAATGTATTCACTACAAACCTTCAAGACATACATTATAAACATTACCGGTAGTTTTAAGTAATTCATTTTAACTTTTTCTGCAAAGTTCATCCATTGCATTCCTGACTAAAAGTTAAATAAAATTGTGATTCTTTATGACAAATAGAATTATTTTACTTTTATTTATGGACTTGTCATGACTCTGTTACTCTGCGGTTATAATCATCATTTGGATGTTAAAGATGTTTGCTCTTTTTCTATTGTCAGCTGTCTGTTTTACATTTATTTTTATTAATAGATTAAGAATAACTATTATACTTGTGTAACTGAAATGTTTGATAAAATATAAATATTCATATAACTATTGATGAAAACTTCCATGATTTATTGAACCCTCAGAATAATTTAACACCTCTTCATAAGAAGGATTAACTATTTAAAACATACTTTTTTTCCAAATTAAAGGAACAACACACTTCTATATAAGTTTACATATATAACTGTGCTGATGACTTTCAAAAATGTTTATTTCCTCTAAATGTGCTCATTACCCTTGAATGTTGATAACACACCGTCATGGCAAAGCAGGGATAGAGAAAGAGTGACTCCATTGAGAGTATTTCCATGTGTTTGGTAAGGTATTTCTTTTGTTTCATGGCAATGTTTCAGAATAGAGCAAGTGATCCACCCAAGTTTAAAGGCAACAAAGAATTGATGCCTGCCTCCATGAGGGTCAAAGATGCTGCAGAAGCTCTGCTAACTTGTATCATTGACCAAGTGGTATGTGCTTGGTTAGACTAGTTACAATCTCTACCTGGTAGCTTTTTATTGCAATAACCAGTCCATTAGCTATAATTTCTATATAGTTATATATACCATATCCTGCAATATACTTCACTTGGACCATCAACACTCAACAAGATTAGTTTGTTGAATTTAGTCAAATATTTTCAATTATGTACTTTGATACATCACTTACTGGGAGACAGTGATTTTTATCATGATCATATAACTTAATCACTATATTTTCTACACTTTGTATCTATTATTTTTGCTTGTTTTTCCTGTCCAGGGTGCCTTTCCTCCTCCGTGTGGTCCTGAGTCATTGTTTTCACTACTTGATGAGAGGTCTTTGCTCAAATTTGCTAAAGGCAATGCACTTCCTGAGCAGGGTTCCTTGTTTAGATATTTTGTCATAGACAACTCTGTTATAGTTGGTTTACTGGAACAACCTCTTGGAAATATTGAAGGCAGGATGATTGTTTGTTTTTTTAAAAGTTTAAATATCACAAGTATTGGTATTCATCTAATTTAGCTAAAGCTCTTCTCTTCATTGAAAAACAGCAAATTAATCATCTGTATATGGGTGATGTATGTGTGTGAAGACAATTTTGTAGCTTCAACATGTTTAACTCTACAGTTCATTGTTTTTTTTTTGTTCTTTTTTATTTTTTTAGATCATCTCACATAATAGGATACCATAAAAAGGGTAGCTAACTAATACCCATTATGTTATATATTTAATTGTTCAGAAATAAATGGAGCTTCATATTTTATAAATTGTGCTTGAAAATGATTGTGTTTTCTTACAATCATGATTGAAGTGAGAAAATTTTTTTACCTTTTAACATTTTTTTCCCACAAAAAGCATACCGTAAGAAGTAAAAAAAAAAAAAAACCTATAGAAGAAAAAATTTAAAATTTGTTTTTTAATTCTGAAATCAAAAGTATACAAAATCCAAAATAATTTTTTTTTTTAAAATGATTGTGTTTTCTTACAATCATGATTGAAGTGAGAAAATTTTTTTACCTTTTAAAATTTTTTTTCCCACAAAAAGCATACCGTAAGAAGTAAAAAAAAAAAAAAACCTATAGAAGAAAAAATTTAAAATTTGTTTTTTAATTCTGAAATCAAAAGTATACAAAATCCAAAATAATTTTTTTTACACATACAACTGTTATTTTGACAAGAGACCTTATTATGCATAATTATTCCAATATAAAGTTTACAACCTATTTTTTATATTTAAAAGTTTATATTTAATAGAAGTACATAAAAAATGTATTACAACAAATAAATTTAATAATTTTTTTTTAAAGTTATTGAAATTTTAATATATAATAAATAAATAGACCAATAATAATAATAAAGCTAGAGCTTACATGACTAAATCAGGTCTTAAAAAATACAAATACAGTCTAAGAATCTTCTAGGCTTAGGGGATGTTCTAACAATCAAAAATTATTTGTCTAGATTATTTTGTATAGATAGAAATGTTTATAACATTTAATTACCAATACAGTCTGATGCTCTTTCTTTTCGAGACAGTAACTCTGCATTATGTCATTAGGCTCATGTCCATAAGTAAAGAATAACAAAGTGTTTTGTAGGTGATTAAATATTTTAAAATTTATTTTTAAAATTTTTATTTCCATTTTTAAAAAAAGACCCTTTGCCAACTGTAACTGCCTTAATAAGAGGAGCATTTGGAAGACATGCATGGACCATGCAATTAAGGCATTCACCAAGAGCCAGCAAAGTAAGAACATTTATTTATCAAATTGATTTAATTACTTAGAAATCTTAGGTGTCAAGATTATCAAGAAGATGAACTCCAAATGCATGTTGTTTTTTTTATGATTGGTGAATAAAAATGGAAGTATATATTCTTTAAAAAAAATTAATTAAAAATTACTAAAAGCAATCCATCACTTTGCTCTTAATGGTAAAACTTTTTACTTTGGTAAAACTTCTGTGTTGGATCATTCACTTAAACAAATCATGTTATAACTGTTATCGATTGTCCTCAGATATCTTCAAGGGCTCACCTGGCAGACCCAGGCAGACCCTCACCAGATGACAATGTAGGAAAACAGCACAATGTCAAACACAGATACTTTCCTGAGAGTGTCTACAAAATACCTCAAACTAAGGCGTAAGCTAATCACAAATGATTTCATTTCTTTAACAGTATTATTTATTACTCTATGTACGTTATCAAATATTTATAACTATACTTAATATTGAAGTTAAGATAAATGAATTTTTAGAATTAAAATATTTAAAAATTTTCTCAGTTGTAAAATAAAAATCTAAATTATAAACTCTTCTTTAAGATCTATAAATTTCTTGAAAAGTGCTTCTTATGAAGCCAAACGTGTCTTGGTATTTTTAGTTCATTCTCTTTGAGGAAAAAAATCTTCAAATGTAGCTGATTTGAGGATTAAGTGGTAATTTATGTGTGCAGTGAGAAGAGCATCCCACCCTTGGAATCTGTGCTGACAGAAAAACAATCAGGTGATGTTGAAAAGATGGAAAGTTTGATTGACCAGGTGGCAACATTTGAGAATGAAGTGAGCCATAGAGCTAAAGTAGAAAGGGAGACAACTCCATTTCCTGATCCATTGACAGAGTGCAAACCTCCAAAGTGAGTGAGATTGGACATGTGCCATTTGTCAGACATAAACAACTAACCAATAAATATTTCATTCTAGAGCAAAACAAACCAAAATCCTTTTGTTAATGTGTTACTGAAAAGACTTTGTTTTCCATTTTTTTTTAATAAACTAAAAAAATTTTTAAATAAACTTAATTTTTTTTTAAAATGTTCATTTACAACAAAACATTAGGTCATGTGGCATAAATTTGCAAATGTAACACTCAAACCCTTTATGTAGCAGTTAAACTAAATATTATGAAGGAAAAATTTCCAGGAGTGTGTGTTTTTTTTAAAAATTGCATACATTTTAACCAGTTTTATGGCTTCTACCTTTTTATACAGACCATTTTTTTCAATAATTGTCCGACAATTTTTAAAGATAAAGAACCATTTGACCTAGGTTTCCTTTTTTTTTGTTTGTGGATATTCTAATTCCTTATTCAGAGCTGTGATATTATGCTTATAAATTCACTCTGACAAGTTAAAAAAGAACAGTCAATCTTAGATGCGATAATTTGAAAAAAAAAAATATATTGGTGTTGGGAATTTATAAATGATGGGGTTGATATATAATTTGGAAGTAATCTGACGTCTGGTAATCACATTTTTTTAAAAAATATCTACCACTTTGAATATGTAAATGTAAATAAAGTTTATTCTGTGCTTTAATACACTTATTTGGTAGTGATAAAAAGTGTTGATGTAATTATTTATGTATTTCAGAATATGCAATGAGTATCAGACAGCTCGGCTTTTCCTCTCACACTATGGTCTACTCTCTCTTGAAGCCCTGAAAGTAGGCATTTAAAATCATAAATCTCACATAATGCTTCAACATTTAAACTCTTTGCTCAAATCTTAAATAAGAAAATAATTAAATGTAAATAAATTACAGTAATGATGTAATAAGCATGTTCATCAATTTATCTTTTAATTCTAAAGACCTCATGTGTAATGTTTAGTGTCCTGGAGGAGAATAAAATTAATCACATATAATTTATAATATACAATCTGAGCTATTTCTATGTGGCCCCCACTTACAAATGTTCTCAGATAATTTATTTCCTGATTCTATATTTCATTCAGGAGCCATCTAACAGCAGTGTGCCCCCTGACCTCATCATGTTGGACACAACAAACACTGGCCTGCTGACTGACTTGGAGTGTTTGGACTTCATACCCAGCCGTGACAATGACACAGTTCACATTTTCTATGTCAAACCGGGGCAAACATCAGCTGCAGAGATCCTCAGCAATGTTGTAAGTTGTACTCTTATAATCTGCCATTAGTGTCTTTAACATTGCATTGACATCAACATTATCATAGAAGTAATTTATTTCTTCATGTCACTGTAAAACAACAACATAGAAAAATTCAATATCAATATATGCGTCTGCTATGGTACTGGGGACCATGTCTGTCACTGTGCAAACAACCGATATCAGTTATTTTGAGATTACACATGTACACATTCAATCATATATTATATCACTGCTTGCAATTAATTCTCTAGTATTCAGTGAGACTAACACTCAAAAGCATAAAAATGGTAATAAGGGTTGTTACAGCGTTTTGTTTTGAGTCCCAAGAGTTCTAAAATATTTCTCTTTGATACTTTTGCTCCTTAGAACTCATACAATAATGTTCAGCCACAGTTTGTAGAATTCCTACATGCTCTTGGGTGGCCCGTTGATGTGAGGAAACATGCTGGTTGGACAGGTCATGTGACGACATCTTGGAAAATCACCGAACCCGATGACATGGACGGTATGAATGAACTGACACAAGCCACTTTCAGCTTCCTATTGGCCTTGAAAATTACTGGTCTTTTCAGACAATAATAGAAGACCCATGGGACATTTCTGATTTCTATGATAAGATTATGTCAATATAGAAATAAGAGATTTAGCTAAAATAGATTGAACTAAATTAAATAAGACATTGAACATCCTAAACAGTTTTGAAATAAGGAAATTTAGTAATCAACAAAAATGACCTTCATTGGAGTTCAACAAAGATATTTTTAAATTTGGACAACTTGCCTCCTATCAGTTAGGTCTCTAATTTTACTCAAGTGTATTCTTTTTAGGGGCCGTACATTAAGCTATTTTTGCTCCTCCCTCCAAATTTTGTCACAAACTCAGGAACCCATCACCACCAAAGTACATCAGATTTTCAAACTAAAAATTGAATTTAAAAAAAAAAAAAAAGCTAATTAAAATTTAATCTAAACATATTTTACTATCAAAATACATCAATCGCAACATAAAGTTCAACATAACTGTCAATTTCAGGTTTTCTATGTATGTTTTTTTTTTTTTTTTTTTTTTGCTGAGACTGACATACTTTATGGACTGTCCCTTTTCTTCTCATTGAAAATAAGCAGTTAAAATAGTTTTATGTGACTATTTTACTTTTTAATTGACCTTACAGAAGATGAGTATCAGACAGGAACAGGTGGCAGTTTGTATGATGGACGTCAACAAGTCTTGTACTGGGCGGATGTTTTATCTGAGTTGGCTTTGGTTGTTCCTTCACCAGAAATCTTCAGATTAAGATCCCTTAGTACCACAGAACCTGGACCAGAAAGTGTGTGCTTGTTTTGTACTTTCTCTCATCAGCTTGTCTTTTTCTGTCATCAGCTTGTCTTTTTTCTTTCAAAAATTTACTTGATAACTATTTATTTTTCATGTTCATTTTATTAAAGCAAATATTAGATTCATCGCACATATAAGTGCCCATTCTGTCAGATTTGTAGAGACCCATTAGACTTGAACTTCTTGTACATTCTTAATTTAAATGACCTCTGTTATAAAACTAGATTTCTGTTGTCTTTATATACAACTTTATTAACTATACTGCCAGATAAGTCACCGCCCATGTTCCGTGGTTCAACATACACAAGTGGCTTAGACCCACTTGCTGCATCCAAACCCACAACGCTACTGCTAGAGGCAGAGAAAAGCAGACTGTTGGATAAAGAGTCACCAAGCTCCCCACCTGAAGTTCCGACCACCACCATCCCAGCAGGTGTCAAGTACAGAAGACTTGGACGCCAGCCAGCCTCAATGATAGGTCCTGACACTAAGGTCTTGGTCGTTTGGCTGGAGAGTTTTGAGGATCATGATAACTTTCCTATATGTGAGTTGAATATCATAACATCCTTATATCATGATAACTTTCTTGTCTGTATTTATCTAGTTTATCACAGCTAATGCAAAATTTTATTTAGGTTTGATTTTTAATATCAATAATTCTCCCCTGGCTTGGGTTATTTGGTCTCTTTGAAATCCACAAAGAACTCGGTGATGAAACTAAATTTTATCTCTTTTAAATTTCATTATGTTTTATCAAAGTAATACCGGTAGTATAGTGTCTTTTTTTTTTTCCAGCTGATCTACTGATAGTAACAAGTACAGGCCAAGAGCAAGGGGCTACATCTAGCACAGCCACAGTGTTGCGACCACCTGAGAAAGACATCTATGTTATATTCATACATGCTCTTCAGAATGGTCTGTTCCGGATACATATGATTGAGTATGAGAAGACACAGACAAAGTGAGCCTGCCTTCTTTTCACATAGTTTGTCATCATTTTTTTGGCCCTAATTTCCTAAATCTGGTTGCAAAGAAACCCTCAACTTACTTTAAAAAATAATTAATAAATATCCAACTCTTTTATTTTATATTGTGACTTTCTGAGTAATTCACATATATATTGGGGTTTGTTTTTTTTTGTGTTTTTTTTTCCTTTAACCAAGTATTTAGTTAGGAGTTGCAGTGTTTTTAAAAACTTTGAGAAAAAAAACATATGACTAATTTAAAATGTATGATCTGATTTTAAAAAATGTTTAACATTCACAGTACTTATTAATAATTTTAACCTAAATATCAAACCTATCAACATGGTAGAAAAACTTTAATGAGATAAAAATAATGTATGCTAATTTAAAAATGCTCTTTCAATACTTTCAACAAAATGAAATAATAATATTGCCAAAATTTCACTCCAATCAAGTGAGTGAAGCTTTCATGTTTAAGGGTGCTTAGTCCATCTTATTTCCACATCATTGAGTTTCAGTACATTACAAAGATGATTTAAATATGTAAAATGAATGTTAAAGCTAAACAAGTCTGTCAATTAAATAGTTAGTAAAACCAAAGGTTAAGACCTCTGTGTCTTATGTTTAAAAATGGGAATAGACCCCTGCGAACTGACTCATATTGAATTGTTCAATTTTCCAGAATGTCTTAATGCAGGTTTGTACTAAAAGTTTTCTAATTTCACTGCATTCACAGAATGTCTATAGCTATTCCCTTAGTTGATGGTATGGTGGTGAGTCGTCGGACTCTAGGATCTATGGTCAGACAAACAGCAATTAACATTTGCAGGAGACGCAGGCTAGAGAGTGAATCGTAAGTCTTTAAAACTCTCATGATGTAACATGATAGGTAATCAAAATTAAAATGGCTTTTCATTAAAGAAGTAGACATTAATTTTCTGTAAAAAGTTTTATTTTAAATCGAATTTTAAAGTTATGAAGAAACCATATAGGGTTTTTTAAAAATTACCTTCTCTTACAAAAAAGTATTACATCACCATATTTAATTTAATTCTTTCGGTTTATTTAAAATTTAAGACATTTTTTTAAAAATCTTTCTCTTTCTTCCTGAAATACATGATGTCTCTCTTTTTGTATAAATGCTCCACTCCCCCCATCCTCTTTGATATCAATAATCTCACATAAGATCAATTTAAACTCACCTAGCTACCAACCACCTCATGTGAGAAGAAAACTCAAGATCCAGGAGATTGTCAGCAAGTACAAATGTACTATGTCACCAGCAGAGTTCTACTCTGGTTTGTTTCAAGATATTCCTAAGTGAAAATTCAACATGAAAATGATGAGTGTCGTTTAACTAATGTCTGTCCATCTGAAGGCAAGGCATTTACTTGTAACTCACAGCTTATGCCATATTGAAGCTGTTAAAAATACATTTCTGTGCTTTTTTTGTGTGAAGTATTTCTCAATGGGTCAAGAAACTGAAGTTACAGTACGCTGTCTAATTGAGGAGCAGTTTGTACTTGACCAAAGCTAGAAAACTTTGTGAACCAGTTGCATAGGAGAGCTTGAGCCCTACTCTCACAATATTTGTGTTCTTTAGCCATTCAACTGCAAATCAAAGCAGAGAGATATGATCTATTTTAAATGTATAAGAGAATGCAAAATACTAAGAAAAGAAGAAGAAGAGTTATTTATTCAAATTTATATCAGAAGCTCATGTTGTGAGCTTGTGTTGTTATGTCATTACATTTGTGATTTTTCTTTTAGCTTTCATTGAGTCTTGTATTGGTGCTATATAAATAGAAGAACCTGATGGGTTATTTCTGCCGTCAAGCTTTGTGTACATTTTAAACCATTAATTTATTAGGCTACGTTCTGAATATTTGTTGGACTTTTTACTGTGAAGCTTTCAGATTTACTGATATTCAGAGCACCATTAAATGTACTGAGTTGTATATTGCTGATTGAAATGTACTGAGTTGTATATTGCTGATTGATTTTTCAGTGTCAGTGGGGGGTAATTAAAATTGATCAAATGAATTTTAAACTGCATTTTATTTTTATGTTATGTGAGTTTTGACACTATTCCCATGGTATTAATTAAGTATTCCAATTATAAGAACTAAAGGTGAGCAGGTGAGTAGTATTTGCTAGAAAAATATGTATGCATTATTTAAAATGCATTGCATACTATTTACATGGGAAGATGAAAAAAAATTTTCTTTTAGTTTGCACAATACAATTTACTTTTGCTCACTTAGCTTAGTTCTATAAAAAACATTATTACGGTGTAAACTAGATGCCCTAAAATGACTTTTCATGTTGCTAGACAACCAAGAAACAGTTGTGGATCATGTGATTAATATTAACAGCAGTTATTTAGCTACTACGGTGTTTTTATTTGATATATATATAAATTATTATATCATCACTTGCTCAGGATTATATCATTATGATTTAGTTGGTTGTTTAAATTTTGTACATCAAATTGAGGACTGTACATTGCAACTAATGAACTCTGCTTATTTCTTTCAATCGGCTTCAGAATAAAATAAAATTATATTTTATTCCCAGATATTAAGAATGTTCACTATAAGAAATTAAAACTATTTAAATCTAGAAGTGCCAAGGTATAAAATGGTATTAATCATGTCACTTAAGAAATTTTTTTTTTATTTGTGTATATTTCTCAATTTCAAATAAGTGCTTTATTTATTTTTGCCTCTGTATTGTGTTCCTGAATAGCAGAGTTCCAATATTTAGACTTAAATAATATTTTTTATGTCGGTCACAGGTTATTTTATTGATTTGTTGTCTAGACTTATGTGTAGCCTCAGGAATAAATAATAAACATTATAAAATTTGTTTAAAAGTCAATTAGTACAAAATTTAAGAACTTTTCATTTCTCAGGAGAAACTGAAAACTTAAGTTTCAAGATGTCATCAGTGTATTACTAAGGTATTTATTAAATTTTGTTTTATAGGGCATCCGTGTATTTAGTCACAAAATTCGTTTGTTTTGCTTATTCAGTTTCAAATCTACCCCTTCCTATTTTTTTCTGTGGTCAGTGCAATAATTTCTAATAGTTATTAATTTCAATAAATATTTTAATGAATTGATACGTTTCTGTATGTGCTACTAGAAAGGTTTTGTTAAATGCTCAAATCTCATTCATTGTAATATCATGTACAAATAAAATGTAGTGTAACATCATATTAGATTAATAACCCATGTCCTTAAGGTTAAGAAACTTATTAAATGAAAACAATACTTGTGCTCCCGTGCTTCTTAAAATAAAGAGATACAGATAAATCAACAGAATGTGCTCAGAAGAAATACATTTATGAGTTGTATTAACAATGCAGTATTTGTCTCATTCACCCATGCATGCATATATCCCTGGTTCAAAATTGACCTTAATTGAAGAATATATTATTGATATATAAGTTGTTATCAGCCTCATCATTTGAGTCAAACATATACATATTTATATATTTATGTTTCTAGTCATTGATTGCTATCAGGCTTAGTAAAACAAAACAAAAAAGCATTTTAACTATTACTTACAAAGTTGGACAATTTCATTTATATAGTGTGTAGTTGAAAATTCATTTATAAAGTGTGTAGTTGATAATTCATTTTTTAAAGTGTGTAGTTGACAATTTCATTTATAAAGTGTGTAGTTGACAATTCATTTATAAAGTGTGTAGTTGACAATTTCATTTATAAAGTGTGTAATTGACAATTTCATTTATGAAGTGTGTAGTTGACAATTTCATTTATAAAGTGTGTAGTTGACAATTCATTTATAAAGTGTGTAGTTGACAACTTCATTTATAAAGTGTGTAGTTGACAATTTCATTTATAGAACAAGTGGGTGCGTATTTTAGAATATGAAGATTTGTGTTAGGAAGCACTTGTAAACAAGTAAACCATGACACCTTGATGGTTAAAAACAAAGTCAAAGTACTTTACTTGATATTGTTTGGACACCATGAAATCTTAAGGAGAAAAAGTGAAAGATTTCATTGTGTGAGTCATTCACTTAGCTATAATGGAAACAGTGTAAGGAGTAAAAAAAAACAACAAAGTATGTATGTTAATTGTATATATGTTAAAATGAATTGATGATTTAAATCAGTGGTCCCCAAACTTTTTCCCCCTTAGCTTATTAATCACATGAAAAAAATACACATCTACGTAACATTTCTAAATGGTTGCAAAATACTTCCTGATAAAGATCTTGTATCCCACATTTCTTGTCTCGATAAAACAATATAGGAAATGTCCTTAATTTGCCATTATAGCCATGTGAATAGAGTGTTTTGATAGCAATGTAGTTCTATTTATGATATTTTTATACTGGTCAAAAGATCAATTAGAGCCTGCTAAAATCTAGTAAGCCTTTAAACACCCACCCCCTGGCAATGCCACTTTGAGAGTCACTGCTTTAAATTATAATTAAAATTGTATGTAAATAATTTATTTCATGCAATGTAACTAACGTTATACTTAAATTGTCAATTATGCTCCTCTTCATATAGAATCATGGCTGTGTAATTTGCATACACCCAAACACATGTCATTTTGAGAAAGTAGAAATGTATGTCTTTAGGTACACATTGAAATGATGGTGAACAGCTGAACAATGAGAATACAAATTTTCTTTAATTCGAATATAAACTTTATAGTTTTAATCATAGTAGCAACATTTTTATTCTGAAAAAAAAAAGAGTGTAGTTAATGGGATGATTGATGAAGCTTTCCTTACATGTAGAATCTTGTTGTCTTCTGCAGAGGTCCCCAACTTACTATACATTAAACAGAAATGCCCAATGAGGTCGGCATTCTGGAATAATCAACGTTCATCTTGACTTTATAAATTGCCATGAGAATCTGCAGGCTGTGTTCTTGGGACCTGTAGTCTTTGAGCACTGTCATTGGCATGTAATGATGTTTTACATTACATAAATACCAACATATACTTGCGTCATTTATAAGTGGTTCTGTGATTATGGACATATCTGCACTGCATATAATTGCTATTTTACTTGTTCCCATGTCTGTTCCTTATATGCTACAGGTTGTATGTGGAAGTGCTTTGAAATCATAGATTATAAAATGTTGGCCATAACGATTACAAATAAATGAATCAAAGCTTTTCAAACATCATTTGATTTATTCAATTTTTTTAATTCATTGTTCATGACATGTCTTAAATATTTTAAAAATAGATATTTAAATATTGCAATATGAGCTTCAACTAAAAATTTGGAACCCTAAGTCATCTCAAAATTATTCTTTAATACCTGTACATGACAGATTACCTTATTTTCAGTGATTAAGATTAACCTTTTACCTGGCTGTAAAATCATTACCAGATTGTAAGGCTAAGGGAATTATGACCTTTTCATTGATTTATAATATATTATAATATATAAAAACTATTTCTCTTTCTTACATAGTAATAAGACTAGATGATAAGCCGACACTTGTGTCATGACATCCAAATTAAATCAAATTCTTATAAAAGCTAATTTTGGAGGTGCTAGATTGTCACAGCTAGATTGTGTTACGAGGAGGGCTTTCGATCCTGACTTGTCACAAACTATTTTGGCATAGCTGTGATCTTCTCATTGTTATTAAATTGCTACATCACTAAATACAATTTTCTCCAAAACAGATCCAATCCCTCCCCCCTGCATATTCCTTGTCTCTGCCTACTTATTATTAACAATCAAAACGCATTACTTGAGATCAGCAGCACAGGCCCAACATGTAACCATTGATGATGAAGTGAACATTCGAATTGCAAGAGCCATCGCAGCATTCGGGAAAAGGTGTAATAATGTATGAACAAGGAGATGCATCAGCACCCAAACCAGAATAAAAAGTTTATAAGGCAGCTGTGCTCTCAACGCTACTATAATCATTGGAAACATGGACAGTCTATCAACGCCATTAATCAACGCCAGGAAAGTAAAACCTCTGAAAAATTCTCAATATCAAATGTCTGGACTAGATAATAGAGTAAGGTACTCGCACAAGCAGGTCTTCCCAGGATACACACATTATTAATGCAGCCATGTTGCGAGAATGTCAGCAATGTCAGACGACCGCTTGTCCCTAAAGAACTCGAGCATGGCAGGTGGTTTGCTGAGGGACAGAAGAAGCGTTTTAAAGACACTGAAAGCATATTTGAATGCATTTCACATTGACCCGGCCATGTGGGAACAGTCCTCACAGAGTCGAAACTCGTGGTGCTATTCCATACACAAGGTCTCAATGTAACATGAGGTAAACAGAACAGCTGCTGCAGAACACAACCTGTACATAGAGTTGTCCCATCCATCCCTGCACCTTCTGCACCGGAACATTTCGTGCCCGATCAGCCATCTGCGCACCTACAGACAGATTCAGCCCCTGCAACAGGCCGGTGTTTTAAATGGTCATGATCGACTTTCGACGGACGAACTATCAGAACAGTCGTCGTCGTCCCCCACACCCCCCCCCCCCCCCCCATAGATCATAAATACATATATAAGTAGTTTGTAATATAATTATTTTTACCCAAACCTTCAATTAAAATAAAAAAATATATTCGCTATTTCAAAGTTTCTTAGAATTTGATATAGGACGTCTCGGTAAAAGCCTAAAGTCGGCAAGTGCGCAGCCGAAAAAAAATAATTACGTCACATCCACATACAAAGGCGAACGGTGGACTAAATATTATGGTTACTGTTGAAATACCTCCAGAGATCACTTGTAAAAAGCACAATGCAACAGTTTGACAATAATTACGAAACCTTGTGGTGATATTTTAGTCTTCGGAAATATTCTAAATCAGGCGTCTCACAGATTTTAGATGATTTATGGCTTTATTAGAATTATAAATTTAATATTTATTAACCGTCACATAAATAAGCTATTTATCAGTGGCGTAGCTAGGGTTAGTGCCACCCAGGGCAGATCACGATTTGTACCACCCCCTTCCAAGTAAAAATACCCCGCAGTTGGCCTAAAATGCCCCCCCCCCCCGCTCTCTATATAAAGAGAAAATGTGCCGCCTGGGTTGAAGCATGACCAGGGTTTCTTTCAGCTATATCTCCAGGGGGGGGGGGCACTATCCCCCCTCGGGAAACCCAAGTGCCCCCCCCCCCGGAGCAAACATATGTCCAAAAATAAATCAACTGGCACTGCTTGCACTGCCACCCCCCCCCAAATCTGAAATGCCCCCCCGGGGGGGGGGATTTATGAAATAATCACAGAGCATGACCCACTAGAGTACAGTTCTCGTAGGTCGTGGTTGGAGGCCCCTCCACCCCGTCTTCCTACGCAAATGCTATTTTATGGACTGTCAGAATTTCAGGATAATTATTGCAAAAAATAATAAATAGATGAGCATTTATTTAGTGTCCAGGAAAAGATTTGAGTGCCGAATGAGAATTTGCATATTACGTCACGCTCAGAGGGGAGGAGTCGAGAATTTGTGACACACTGTGACATGGTGAAGAGGGGGGGGGGGGGGGTCAAAAAAATTGGGGGGGGGGGGGGGGTGTCAAAAAATCTGGGACGTCACAGTTCCTTTTTTTTTAATTAAAAAAAATGTTTATTCAATTAATTTTAAAAAAATAATAATTTGAGGTCGAAATTGCTTCAGGTATTATAAGTACCGTGAAACTCAGTCGTGCACCTTTTGGGCATATCAAAAAATGACGCAAAAAAACTGTTGTACCCATTTTACATTTGGCTCGGGGAGGACTTCGTTGTTTTGCGCTTTACGTCACAGTTTTCCAATAATACTACATCTTAATCCATTATGGGAAAATGTTAAAGAAAGAATAAAATAAAATCTAGTTTAGTTATGAAAATTGTATGTATGTTTTGAATTTTTTTGTAGCTGTGACGTGACACTAAAAAAAGGGGGGGGGGGGGGGGGGCTAAAGAATTTGGGACACTTTGTGCCAGAGGGGAGGGGTGTCTAAAAATTACTAAAAAGTTTATTTTTTTAGCGTGCCGTAATTTGCGAACTACCCGGTCTACCCCGTAGGCCTTTAAAATTAGGCCCAAAACAATCAGTGGTGATGTTCTGTCCTTTTGAAATTATAAGAATTCTATACCAATAATAATAATAATTAACAAATATTTTACAACAAATTATGGAGGCCTATTAATGATTTCTATCAACGAAAAACAGAATTGTTGACGTCAACTTCCCCCACCCCCATGTCAGCAATTGTCTAACCACCCCCCCCCCAATTTTCCACCCTACTTTTTTTTACGTAAGTAAGGGGCAGCCACAAAATAAAATTATATTTATTTTAACTTAATATTAACGTGTGCTTTAAGGTTCACTTGCGAAATTATTAAAATTAAAACCAACCCTTTTTGGTTGTTTCTATTTCTTTTTATTTTAAAGAGTGTTGTGTTGAAAATTTGTTTAAATACTTTTGTACATGCTTTTTTGACAAGAAGGGTTAAGTTGGAAAAAACACCAATATTAATGAAATGCACTTCTTTATTTACAAGGAAACGAAAATTAAGCATCTCGAAACCCGAATGACATTTCGGTAAGAAGAATCACCAGCAACACTAAACCACAGTATCCACTTTATCCACAGGAGTAGTGGGAAGTGAACAGATGGTAAATAAAATACAAGGCACGACCGAGGTGGAAAAAACAGTGTAGTCTGAAATCATTTATGGAAGTATAGAATTCAATGAAAAATTTATTCAAAATGCAATTTTACAACCAGCTTTTCCTTGTTATTACAACCTGCTTATTCCTAACATTCACTGTCAGCCAATCAAAAAAGGTAAGTCCAGATGGATGAACTGTATTGTCATTGAAAACTAAAAAAGAGTAGACTAAACTTAGACTAATCTAGGACTAGTACTACCTATACGGCTATAGTCTATATGAAATTTAGTAAGTTACTCTGGTCTTTAAGTATAGTGTAGGATATATGATATAGTGATTATTCACAGAGCTGTGCGGATAACGCTCGCCGTTATTCACAGATTTCGGTCTGCCAATAACGCTCAACATTATTCAGAATGTGATAAATTAAATTATGAATATAAAATACAAAGTTCGTGTGAAAACATCTCCTCGGTAGTATAGTGGTCAGTATCTCCGCCTGTCACTCGGCGGACATAGGTTCGATTCCTTGTCGGGGAAGCTTCATTTTTATAAATAAAATTTAAAAAAAAAATATATATTTAATGGTTATTTCGTAGTGTTATATTATAATAATATTCTTCATATAGCTTTCTTATTCTGTTCACATAGTTTTATTATTATTTTCATGTAGTTTTGTTACTTATTCTACAAGTTTCAATCTATTTTGTTAGAATGTTCATTCCAGTTTCGTCAAAAAACTGTAAACAACATGGACATGCAGATGAGCCGCATAAACCATGTTTAAGTCAGATACAGCTGTTCTAACTGTACATTGACATTGTGATATACTTTTAGCTCTTTTGACTGTTTAATTTTCTTTATATAATTCCACTCATAGACTTTAACATCCATTTGTTTTTCTCTAATAAACAAATACTTATTAATAACTTACTTATTAAAATATTTTAGATCTCAGAGTTGTGTATTAATGTTTAGCTTAAAAAATATGTCACGTTTTATTTGTTTCATTTTATTTTCTAATAAGTATCATAAGTAGGGACACAATATACCGCTCCAGAAATAGTTGAAATAACATTTAGTGATGACAATGAAAGGAACATACCGGTACCGTACTTAAAACACATCAATATCATTGACATCAACAATTTTAGCTCTTGTAAAAAAAATGTTGATAATTGAAACAAAAAGCCATACTGCCACTGTTGTAACTATGGGTCTAAATACAAAAAAAGCATACAAAAATTAATTGGAACCCTGCTGGTCGTAGGATGCATTGCGAGTCTTTGGGAAGTAAAGTTCCCTTGGGGCAATTGAAGTTTGAGTGTATGGCCAGCGCAATAACCAGCCAGCTTTACTTTTCCCCAGCTAAGGCCAGAGCTGGGTAGACTTAGGGACACCCTCAAGGATCAGGAAAAAATACTAGCCTTAAACAGGATTAGATTCTGTTATTATCGATGTAGGGCCTATATGCCCCTCCCCGTCTCTCACATGGCCGCCTGATGGAGACACCTCTCTGCATCATAACACTGTTGCGCGGCATGTCAACTATTTCTGTCAGAACATTTCTGGACTACGTGATATATCATAGTGCTTTTAAAAAAAAACTAAACGATATCCTATCAAGCTTTGACATCATTTAAAGACATCTCTACAATGGGTGAAAGTGAGTCTACATGAAGAATACCGGTACCATTTTTATTACTGGTATAACATTTAATAGGAAATACCAGAAAATTAGCTATGTCTAGGAGTAGGAGGTTTGACTGGATCTATTAGTAACACTCTATAGGTCGAACATGTTGGCCCCTAACAGAGCAGATGTAGGCACAATTAATTGTCCTATATCCAATATATAGGCTATAGTTAGGCCTATTAAATTTTTTAAATTTAATTTGTGCATAGCTTCGGTTATGAAATGTGCTTGTGCCATACTCATTAAAGATTCTTTAAAGATCCAAATATCCTACACTACTTAAAATTACACCCCCACCCTGCCTTGGAATGTGATATAGAAATTTGCGTACTTATAGGATAATTTCTGTCTCATTATAGACCCACTAATTATCACCCAATAATAAATTTGTATGCGCACATGGGCGCCCGCAGTTAGGGTTTGATTTGATTGGCTGGACTACCAATAGCTCTCTAGAAGCTATTGGTAGTTCAATACAAATAGCTCCCTGCCCTAACTAGAAGCTATAGGTAGTAAACTACCAATAGACACTTTCTTTTTGATAGTTTTGAATTAGGCCTATAATTATAAACTTGTATTAAGTTCATTACATTGACTGATTTTTGCATGCAATATCAGAATCAGGTAAAAAAAAATGTGTTCAAATTGCCATTAAAATAAATTAAATATCAATTAATAGCCCCTTTTTTATGCAGCTACAATGTAGCCTACTTTCTAAAATAATTTCCGAAAATTCAGGCATTTTTTAAATCAATTTTAGGCACGTTAAAGATCTAGAAAACATAAACAAAAGTTAATCTTAAGCTCCTCAGATGTCAAGGTTCTATGATAGTTTGCAAGTCCATGTTCTTATATGCTGAACAAAAAATAAAATGACATAAAGGAAATAACTCTACTTTGAATAGTAGATTTCCTGACTTTTAAAACTGGACCACAACAAAACCAGTTATATTTACATTTCATTTTCATTGAATGTTAAGTTTATAGAGACAAACTCTCTCACTGTTCTTTTTAAATGTCATATTATGCAAGCAACTGTACATGTGATGCAAAATTTGTTTAAAATTAATTAATTATATATATGGGTATTTATTAAAAATTTAACCCTTTATACTAAGTATCATTAATTGCTCTTCATATATTTATGTAATTTGAAACATGGTTTAAAATATTTAATAAATTACTAACACGTTTTTTAGATAAAAGTTTGAAAAATAAAATATCTTAAATAGGTCAAACGAAGTCTGCGGTGGGTAACATCAGATCATGCACTCAGATACCTGACGACAGAAATGTCCACTATGGAAGACTTCAAATCTAGCATATTAAAGCCAATGCTTATAGAGAGGGTTTCTGGGACAGAGGGAAATCTTAAAGTTCAAAGGGTAAGTTAAAATAAATTTATAAAATTCATCAAGATTTTAGTATACTAGGACAGGATTTTTGCTTGCGCAGCAATACTTTTTGTTACATTAGACATAACTGGTATAAATTGGTTCTTATATCTAGAAATTAAAAAAAAAAAAAATAATAATATTTGAGTATTTAAGTAGAGTGGGATACAGTTTTGGTATTGTTAAACTTTAAATATTTTACCCATCATGTCCGATAGTTTAATTTAACATCAAAATGCAATGTACTTTAGCCATTTTTGAGGCTGAAATCGATGCATTTCAATAAACTCTCACAGGATGCATATTTCTGTTATAGAAAAAATATGTCAAAATCGACATCGATATTAGACTGTTAGTGGATAACTCTAATTTACAAACTCAAAAAATTGAAATATTCACAGAATATTACTATAGAATAAAACAAGGAGTTCTGCTGTCTACGAAGTATAGCATATAACTAATATTACTAATAACATCACAACATTCTCAACAGTGTACTTTGATACCACAAAGTCAGTGCCAGATGGATACTGTAAATGTTGTCTGATGAAATGAAAAATGTTGCAGTTCATAGAAATTTTATTACATCATTGTGTTCCTAAGAAGAAAAGGCAGTTCTTAGAACTCTTCCCTTAGGCATCATTTTAAAAAAAAAAATCAAACTGCAGGCTTGGTCTGGGAAGATCATGTTGCTTTGTTTTAAAAAAAATAAAATTATGTATGTATTTTTACGACTGACATTCTTAACAAAGGAGCAGATATTAATTCTAAATATAACATTGAAATTCTTACTACTTAACAAAGAAGAATCAAATGGATTAAAATAAGAAATGCAACACTTCATCAACACAACATTGGGCCTCAGACAAGGGAGTGATAAAAGCCTAGACTTAATGGCCTTGTGTTGGGTTATATTCCCAAAATTGAAGGGCCACCATTGCTGTGATCAACAGTTAGATTCTGCTGTGAGAAAATGGTTTAAAGGAAATTTAAATTTTTTAAGGACTGATTTTGAAAATAGCACAATTTTTCCTTAAGTGTATTGAAGTTTATTATAATTGTTGGTGTATTTCATATGAAATATCTTTTACAATTAATTTTGTATTTAAGTGCGGACACAGCTTATTAGCCTGTCCTCAAAAGTATATAACAGAAGTTCTCAAAAGATTTTCCTCATAACACCCTTTTAATTGCTATAATGCTTTCACATTTTAAGTTTATATCAAAATTCCAATTAACCAGGTACTGGATTAAAATGTGCTGTTTATGACATAATTTTACATTTTAAATTTTTTCAAATTGGGTTGAGCTGCTCATTTCTCATTAATGACTGAATTAAACCAATGAAATCAATTTTATTTGATTGTTACATTTTGTTTACCTTAGCACATAACATCCTTTCTGAGAAATCTTGGTTGGTCTGTGGAAGAAGACAAGTTTAAAGATTCTACACCTTATGGAGACAAAGAGTTCACAAACATTATTGCAACATTTGACTCTACAAAGCCAAGGAAAGTTATCCTAGCTTGTCATTTTGATTCAAAGTATTTTGAAAAAGGAAAGTAAGTACTTGCTACACATTAATTTTGATGGATCAAATTGGTTATAATGTTGTTTTATCAATATAAACTGTAATAAAAGTATATGTAAACAGTGTAATCACATGATGTATATTTATTAGAATTTTCCAATAAATCCTTTCACTTTACATAATTTTAAAACACCTGTGTTCAGTTCTAAGTCAGGATTAAGTCGTTCTTCAGGATTAAATACCTTTGAATGTCTAATCTGGGGAATAGGTTTGTTGCTGCAACCGATTCAGCAGTGCCTTGTGCTGTGCTCTTGGAGACTGCGCGCCAGTTGGACTGTTTACTGAAGAAAGGGTCTAAAGAAAAGAGCTCAGTATGTACGCCATGTAGTAATTGTTTAGGTTTGCAGTAGTCTAAATATTAACATGTTCACAATAAAATTTAAAAAAAGAAAAGATTTCAGTTTGAGATAAAAATCATGTTTCAAGCTCTCAGTTATTTCAATGAGTCAAACACTTTACTTATCTTATTGTTATTTTGGAGTTTTGTAAAAAGGCAATAGAAATATTTTTGCTTGCATGTTCCTTAATTTCTGTGCTACTTAATTTACTTTATGGTTAAAGTGCTACTTCATATTCCTCCGTAACAACTACATTTCTTGACATAATTGACCTATCCCCTAGTGATTTCTTTCTATTTATCATTCTATTGTTCTCCCCATTCTTTTCTCTAAACATTTATTTGAGGCTGACTTCTGCAGTGCATAACTCAAAACTCTTCTGAAATTTTCATTTTCAAGTCTCGTTTTTTTACCTTTATGGACTACACTTTTCTCCTTGCAAAGTTTCCTGTTTAGAAAAAAAGATTTCTTAAATTTAAATTTAACATGTCCAGTTTTAAAAAAAAATGATTTCTTGTTGTCACTTTCTTCAATGATAGTTTGAAGCCAATGTTATTATGTTTTCCTACATTCAAGCTATTCCAAGTTATTTTTATTTTATTTTTTTAAAAATTGTTAAGTGTCTACCCACACAATGTTTTCATCTCTTTACTTACTGTAAACTGTAAATTTACTTACTGTAAACTGTAAAGGACAGAATGCATTACTAACGGCATAATTTTAAAATTAGTGTGATTAGCTTCTGTTGAATGGTTTGAGTCAACCCATGACAAAACTTTCATTTATTTATATCAGTGACACAACTTTCATTTATTTATATCAGTGACACAACTTTCATTTATTTATATCAGTGACACAACTTTCATTTATTTATATCAGTGACACAACTTTCATTTATTTATATCAGTGACACAACTTTCATCTCAGCACATGCATTGATACCAATGAACCACTCTCATTTCCATTGTAATGTTTGACTGATTTTTATCAGAATCATTTATGATAATTTTTTTTTTCCTCAGGCAGCCGATGTGACGTTACAATTGATATTTTTTGATGGCGAGGAAGCCTTCAAAGAGTGGAGGAGCACAGATTCTCTGTACGGTGCCAGGCATCTAGCTGAGAAGTGGGGGGGAGAAAAACTTGGAAATAATCCAGAGGAAACAAAACTGAAAGCTATAGTATGTAGCCCTTAAATACTTTGTCTTGTTTCCATATCTCTTAATTGACCTTTTTATCAAAGAGTCATATAACCTGTTACTTAAAAGAGTCATATAACCTGTTAGTTAAAAGAGTCATATAACCGTTAGTTAAAAGAGTCATATAACCTGTTAGTTAAAAGAGTCATATAACCATTAGTTTAAAAGAGTCATATAACCTGTTAGTTAAAAGAGTCATATAACTGGTTAGTTAAAAGAGTCATATAACCTGTTACGGTAGTTAAAAAAGTCATATAACCGGTTAGTTAAAAGAGTCATATAACCTGTTAGTTAAAATAGTTAAAAGAGTCATATAACCTGTTAGTTAAAAGAGTCATATAACCGTTAGTTAAAAGAGTCATATAACCTGTTAGTTAAAAGAGTCATATAACCATTAGTTTAAAAGAGTCATATAACCTGTTAGTTAAAAGAGTCATATAACTGGTTAGTTAAAAGAGTCATATAACCTGTTACGGTAGTTAAAAAAGTCATATAACCGGTTAGTTAAAAGAGTCATATAACCTGTTAGTTAAAATAGTTAAAAGAGTCATATAACCTGTTAGTTAAAATAGTTAAAAGAGTCATATAACCGGTCAGTTAACAGACATCAGATGCTTTGAGAGTATCAGCTGCCTTTCTGGTTTTTTATTATAATTTAAAAATCATATAATGTTATTATTTGCAGCGTGAATTTATTCTGTTGGATTTGATTGGCACTACAGACACACAGTTTATGCAGCAGTTTACTACTACTTCAGAGCTGTACAAAAATCTGGTTAAAACAGGTATTATTTCTCTCATGTGGTACGCTCTTCACACGCGGAGATGACCAAGGCAATTTATGACTTGAGTAGTAGGCTTGACTTGAGCTGTATTTTGTTTCAATGAGGGAGAGTTGCTCAATTCATCCGCCTCACTCTCTTGTCCGTGCCTGTTTGATCCTATGGCAAGACTTAGTCTAGACGACTGGAAATAGACCAGGAAGCAGTAGATGACCAGCAGTGTGAATGTGTGTGTTTCAGTCCTAAGTTTGTGGACTAGAGTTCAATCTCCAGCAAATCCTAGACAAGCAAAAACAACACCAGTACTGTGAGTACAAAACAAAGTTTGGCCTAACAAGTGGGGTGGGGGGGATGAGGGCAATATGTAACCTGCTTTACGTGCTGGGTGGCTGAGCGGTCCAAACTCGGCCAATAACAAAGCTTGTGGACTGGAGTTCAGTCCCCATCAAATGAGTAGACAAGCATAAACAACACCATGACCCCCGGATCGTGGGACTCATTAGTGAAATTCAAGAAACACTGCTGGTCCTGGTCAATTACTGCATCCTGGTCTATCACGACTCGTCTTGACTAAGTCTTGCCATTGGATCAAATAGGCAAGGATGAGAGAGTGAGGCTGGGGAATTGAGCAACTCACTCTTACTTTAAACAAAGTACAGCTCAAGTCAAGGCTACTCCTCAAGTCAAATATTGCCTTGGTCATCTTCGCTTGCAAAGGATGAACAATAATATTAATTGTGTTAACTGTTGATATCTTTTTCAAGTTACTACTTTAATATTTTTGAACAATAAATACAAATTTTTATATTATAACCAAGTTGAAGAAAGAATAAAAGTTATCACAAAAGATACTAATCATTGTGCTTCTATTTTTAGAGAATCATTTGCGTCAAAATGGTTACCTGACCAATGAACATCCACAAAAAATATTTACAGACCGAGAAGGTTTTGGGGGTATAGAAGATGATCATAAGCCTTTCTTGGAAAGAGGTTAGTAATAGAAATGGTGTTAATTTATTATCTATTTCATCATGCAGTGAAAGCTTTTTTAAAATAAATTACTTATTTATAAAGTCTTGAAAATATTCTACAAAATCTGAGTTTTACCTATTTAGAGACCTTTAAACTTTAATATTATTTGAATTTTACCATCTTCATATGAATTTGTCAGAATTTTCCAGTGTGTCTGTATAGTTACAAGTTTTTTTTAACCTTATGAACATCAGATCATTTCTTACTTACTTACTTACTGGCTTTTGCTCCCTTGCGAAAAATAAATATTTAAAACAAAAACAAGACATTGACAATGTTGGAATAACAGACACATATTAATCTCCCATAACTGTCACATAGCTGTCACATAAATGTCATATAACTTGTCACATAAATCTCACATTGTCACAAATCTTTTTTTTTTCCTTATTTCTAAAACTTTGATCATTTCAAAATAATTAATGTGTCTGCATTTCCTGGTTTGAATTTTATGAAAATTAACTTCCATTGGTAATAAAAGTTCTAATTTTTCCATATATATAAGACAATAGAAAAAATTCCTGAAACATCATAATAACAGTTAACCATAAATAACATAAACTCTCAAACTGACATAAATTTAAATGCACTAGTAAATGTATAATTTACAGTTCAAATATTTTAAAAAACTATTTATGAAATATTTACTCAGTGTGAAATGAGGACCTACTATTTTTGTGTTATTAATTTGTATTTTTTGTGTTAAAAATCTTGTTTTTTTAAAATATTTCTCATTCAGGTGTGGATATTCTCCATCTTATATCCACCCCCTTCCCATCGGTATGGCACAAAATGGAAGATGACTTTGCACATCTTGACTTCAACCTTATTGATGACTTCAGCCGCATTTTCAGAGTGTTTATATCCAACCTGCTACATTTAATTCCTGAGGCTCCCAGCTGTCGTAAAAAGTAGGCATGGTCACCATCTTTGATAAATATTAAATCCTAGCATATCATTATTCTGATTACAAAGTTAGAAATAAAGCAAGTTATCAGAAACAGATTTTATTGCTCAGCAATTAAAGTTAGGCGATGACTGGTGGAAAAGTTGAATAAAAATCCTTGGGAGTGTATTTCTAAAAAAAAAAAAAGAAATAGTTTTTATATTATCATAAATTGAAAAGATGCATTATAAATCACACGATATTTACATAAGAAATAACTGAAGGGTATTCTTGCCTTATAAAAGACATTCCAAAGACTCAGACATATCCAAATATTGAGCTAATATACTTTAAATTAGTTGAAGAATTCTAAAAATTTAACACTGAAAATGTAAACATTTCTTACATTCTGTGTATCAGTTAAGATGTTTAAGAGCATTCATTAAAAAATTGATAGTGGATCTTTAGTAGATCTTGCTGCTACATATGATCTACTTTAGAAAAAAATGAAAAGCAGCTTAATGTTCAAAAAAATTAAATTATCTTCAAATAATAATTTTTAATTTCATATATTATTGAGATCGAAGAGTTTATTATTTATTTTAGCTTTACACAAACAATTATTTCAACATTCCAAATTTGAAAATATTTCTCCGCAATCTAAAATGATTTTAAATCTCTACTCTATGACTATAAGCTGAAAAGTAAAATTTGGGCTTATAGAAACTCTGTGTTGGCCATGATTTGTTAACAAGTTGAGTTGCAAAAAAAGTCACAAATTGGTGGAAATATTTGTATATAAAGAAATTAATTTTTTTTTCTGGACATTGCTCTTATTAAAAAAAAAAAAACCCATATATTTCTATAACACTTACGAGGTGTTTGACAGTCTTTTATGTATACATTTTAGTGTCCTGCAGGATAACAATAAAATATTTGTGTAAAATATTTTTCTCGCCTCAACCAAGAGGAAACAATAGGAGTAATTTACTTGACAGGGCAACCCTGTTGTTAATTTGTAGAGTTATTTGGTTGATGGCCCGACATATTTCTTCATTTCAGATTCTGAAATTCATAATGTCAATGGTAAATTTAAATATTAACATAATTTTGAAATATTAAAAGCTGTATACAAAATCTAAGCTCTGTATCAAAATCTCATCTTGTATCTGAATTTTATACACAAATAAAAATCCATAGATAAATGAATGGAAAGTTATTAAAAATAAGTTTGAAAAAATTTGCTCCTATCTACTCTTTGTGTAAAATCTCTTGGCCAGCAGGTAGTTCCATTTTTAAAATTGGATGTTCCAGAAATCTTTGATATTTATTTATAAAATGATTGTAAAATGACCAAATTTGAGTTGCCAATTTTATTGAAACAATGCTAAAAAAAAGCAAAAACATTCTCAGTGTACATTGATACCAGGTAGTTCAATATATTATGAACTTAGTTTGAAAATATTAATGAAATCAGAACTTTTTTGATGAAAAGGTTCATGTGGAAATGCTTTTAAAAACTTAAAATTATTGAATTCTGAAGTAGGAGAAGTTAATTTGTCAAGGATATGCTCAAATTTTGAAGGTTTTCTTGTGCTTCATTGTAATTTATTTTTTGGTAAAGGATAATAAATATTTAAAAAATGTTTTTTCAAACTTTTAAAAAGTAACATTTATACATCTTATTATTTGATATGTTTGTTTTTTTGTTCTTGGTGTTCATAATGGATTAAACTATACATTATTTTAATACAGGTGATATTGTTATATTCATGTTACAGTACATTAAAATGTGCCTTCATTTGAAATCTACAAATCTAACTTTGTTCAGTTTCATAGTCCCAAATTATACAGGTTAAAAATTTTAGGGATATTTGGAGCGTCATGTCTTATTCAGAATAATTCTTAAAATTTGACGTCTAATACATGGTATAAAAATCTATAGGCTATGCACAAACTGCTAGCATCATTTGTGATAAATCTATGACATAATTTAATTCGATATTTTTTTAGAATTTTATAATTTAACTTACTTGTTTTTATGGTGCTGATGCAATTCGGCTACCCATAACTTACACAGACGAGTTCAGGAGTCATTGCGTTTAAAAGCTGTTTTGATCTTGCAATGTTTTTTGTAAATACTATTCCTTGTGCCATAAAAGATATTATTTACCCAAACTTTAGTTATAGATCACATGATATTTAACCCCTGATGTGCATAATAATATTTGGTGCTGGTTAATTTTTGGGTTGAGAAATTTATAAAATATACAATTAAAAGAATTAATCGTACAAATGTATTATTAAAGTTAAATGGATATTATTAAAGTTATATGGTTGAAATTACTAACACTAACACATGTAAGGAGTTTAAATAAAATTTGTTATAACATCTTTGTTCAATTATTGTTTAAAATGTTATACTTTCATTTAATAACCTGAAATGCAAACAGCTGTTGAAAGGAAATGTAGAAAGAGGCAGAGGAAAAGCTTAGACTATTTAAAATTATAAAATTGTTAAGTTTAAGATTAACCCAAAATCAATGTGTGAAAATAAAAATCTTCACTGAAAATTTGTTTGTGCAAGGAATTTTGAAGTTTTTTTTTTGGTCATATAATTGTTATGTCCTCTTTTGTTCATTTGTTATAAAAAGTTATATAAACTGGAGCTTTGGCAGAAGGAAATGTATGTCTTAATTTTATGAGCATTTGTAATGAATAGTTTCCAGCTTTGAGAATGAGAGAAAAATTCAACGAGAAATCTTTAAAGACTTGTCTATTTCTAAATTGTAATTTTTTTTTTTTTTTAATTAATTTTATTCTAAATGAACACCTGTATGCATAAATAATTTACCATTATAAATATAAGAACAGCTTTTGTAAAACATTAACTTTTGTATGCTTTTGTTGCCTTTTTGGCCACAAATTGTATAAAATACCACCTGATATCAAGATTGTTTTAGTGAAATGCCTCGAGTAGATCAAAATGTCCATGTTTTATTCATCTTGGAATTTTCAAATACTAAATGTAGGTAAAAAAATTGTTTTTTTCGGTTGATATTTAGATTCCCATTCAAACAAATTAGAATGTCTGATGTATGACACTTATAAGCATATATTTATTACTTTCATCTGTACATAAATCCTTATGTCATAATTTTAAAAACAAATCCCAAGACCATTTATAAATATTGATAGAATTAATCTTGAATCTTTCTTGAGTAATCCACTTTTGAAATTCCTCTTGTTAATTGTTGCATTTTAAAAATAAAAATACTTACAGGTACAGTGCATTTTCTAAACTTTTGACCAAAAATTAAAACTTGTTACACACTGTCTCTCTTTCTTCATCTGGGCAGGACTCAAACAGAACTGTGATAGTTTACGCAATCAAGAGTTCTCCGTCCATAATGGTTACACAGATGTGCTGTCAGATTTTATCCTCCGCCTCCAATTTTGATTTTCTATGGTGTTGGTTTATTATTTAAACTACAAATTTAAAGTGGTTAGATTTGAATTTGAAGCATGTTTCTTGTATATATATTGTAGCCTTAATCAATAACTTAATCAATTTCATTCATTAATAAGGAATAATACCAATGCTGTGTTAATTTAGATAATTTGATGAAGGAACTCCCCTTCTTGTTATTGTACAATTTTTTTAACTGGTAAAAAAAATAAATCATTTTGGCTTTCATATTTTTAAAAATGTATTTATTGTTTTTTCTCTGTGTCATAAATTTACTGCTTATATTCCTATATTTTGCAAAAGAAATATGACGAGTGACTAATCAAAATTTTGATATTTATTTACTTTAGACCCTATGCTCAAAATAAAAGTGGACCTTGTCACACTCATCTTTTCCAAAAAATGTTTTCTATGTAAAAAAATATATTTAACTTTTAAAATTATTCAGTTATTTTTTTAATTTTTTATTACAGACATTCCTTATTTTATAGATTTGCTTATCACAAGAGAAACTTGTATTGAGTTTTCCACTGTTGCACAAATGAACTAAGTAAGGAGATAGACAGATAACTCTATGTAAACCAGTCCGTGTGCATGGCACTCATGACAAAATATGTATGTGTTTAAAACTTTTTAAGTTGGAAACAGAAATCCCTTTTTAGGAATAGCTTTTTCACTATAATCAATTATTTTTCTGTTGAGCATCCTTTACTTTAAATGAGTTAATGCTTAATGGAAACATCTTTGTATGGTCTCTTCTTATTTCTAACCTTCCTTGTTCTTGATATCTCTCATTTAACCTACCTTTGGTACTGTATTTATTAATTTCTTTTATTAATGGTGATAGGATTGGGAACCATTGGCATTCAAATACATTTTTTGAAACAATTATTTGCCTTTGTTTTATCTTTTCTTAATAATTATACTTTTTTAAGGAGAAACAGGTTTATTATAGATATGAATAATAAATTGTCATAAGCATCATTTGATAAAAGTGTCAGTTGACAGTGTTAATCTCCAGTTTACCAATCTATAAAGTTCAACAAAAAGTGTTTTTTTTTTTTAAGCTGGTAGAAGCTCATTCTCCTGTTTGCATGTGATGTTTTATTTTTACTATCAGAAGGAGTTTTATACTAAATAAATATTTAATATTTCCATTCAAACTAAATTTCCTAAAGTACTAACCACATTTATCCAACACAACTAAACGGAACAGGCAAGAACAATTTGATTAAAAATAGTTTGTACAAATTATATTTATTTCGACATAAAAAGATTTTAGCACCTTTGGAAATCAAGTATAGATACAACAGTTTTAGAATAACAATAATATTAACCCAACTCACTGGCAAAGATAAAAGAAAAATTGTCATTAGTGTTAATAAATCGCCATGTTACGCTCACCAAAGATTCAACCAAAAATGCATCTGCACTTTCTTGCAAACACTCCCCATCCCCCACAAATCCCTAAACAATGAAGACCACCACACTGTTATCACCAGAAAATCAACTCTCAGCACTTGCACTCATTAATAAAACAGCTTAACAGGATAGCCTATCTAAAATTCATCTTTGAATATTTTGATCTTTGACACTGGAAGACTTCAGATACTTTCTGTTTTACTTTTAGATGTATTACAACAAGGTTGTACATTTTATAGAAATGGACAAAGCCTCCCACCTATACAATCAATGTCAACAATTTTAAATTCATTTATTAAGCAACAGATGGATATGTTTTTCAAAAAATATATAATTTACATAGACCATATTCACATAATTGATTCTCATTACATTAAAAACTTACACATAATTAAAATAAGGCACCTGCAATGCAGCTTTTGTATCATGAAGATTTTTAACAAAATTTCTGCCTAAGTTTGTTTTTGTGTATTTTGTGATGCAGAGTGCTTATTTTAGAAGCTACCACAGAAGCTGAGAAAAGTAGTCATTATACCTGAACATCTTGTAATTTTATTTACTCTTTACATTACACCTTTAAGAGAACAGAAGGAAACAAAAGAGATGTTGGATTTTAAATACAATTCAAACAATGAGGCAGCTCCTAAAATTTTATTTGAAAAATGGAGGTTTGATTAGAAGCCCACAGTAAAAAAAAAAATCTTTTCCAATTTATTTTTATTTTTGAATTTTAATGCTAGCCCTCACAATTGATTTTTCTTCAAGCAAACTATTATGCCCTAATATTACAATGCATAGGTCAGACCTTTTAAAAATTGCAGTTTGACACAAATAGTAAGAAGTACTGGTACTGAATTTATAACAAAATTTCTAAGTACCAGTAACACCTTTTCCTGTTCTGAGGCTATCAATTGTTCATTGTTAAAAAAACATGCAACTCTTCCATCAATCACTTAAGTCTTAGAGATCATTTTTTGACCTTCTTGTTTGGAGGCTGCTGCTGAACAAGTGATTCTCCTGAAGAGCTTTCAATACTTGGTGTCTGTGCTAGCTGTAACAGCTTAGAGAAGACAAACATCATTTAAAATGCTGACATCCAAGATCAAGACAACAATTTTTATTTTGTATATATTGATTTATACATTATTATGATCTGACTATTACCTATGTAATGTTAATTATTTCACTCCTCATAAGATACAGAAAGTTTCCATCCATGTTAATGCAGACCCATTAATATTAAGATTTCTATTTCTATATATTATCTCAGCTAGGAATCACTCTTGCTTCTGCAACATGAAAAATTTGCACCTGGATCCATTAACACTAAACTTATTGATTAGAGTAACAACTAATATGAATTTTCCTGATGTGTTATCAAAAGTGTATTACAGACATAGCTTTGCTGATTGGGGAATGTCTTTAAAATCTATCATCCCCCCCCCCACCCCCCCAAATTTAAACAGAGAATGCATGCAACTTACCGGAGTTCCACTAAGAGAGACAGGAACAGGTATTGTAATAATTTGCTGACCTGTTGAAAGTGCAGAAATAATACTGATATAATTTGGATCTTCCCAAAAAGAAAAAATAATGCAGCACAACTTTAATTTTGCACGCCCAGCCCTTTAATCAGATTATTTTTCTTTGACCCGTAAATGCAGCAGTGCTTTCAAAGGTAAATGATATGTCTTGACTTTCAAAAGTTCAAATTGAAGATATGCACAGAGTAGCAATTATCAGTGAGCGAGTCAAAGAATTTTAATCCCTTTAGTTTTGGCCTAAAGAAACAAAGCAAGATGAAAAATTAAAAAATTGAGTGGATTTGTTAAAAGATCACCAATGGAGAGAGCTTAGCCCAGAAAAGTATACCAATTAATATAATTTAACAAAGCTATAATACTGTAAAAACCCGTGCTGGCCTTTACACTGTGCTTCTCATAATTCTCATTCTTGCTTAAGATGTTTTGTCCATCATGTTTTTATGGATGACCACAAATATGAGCATCCTCGCTTTACTTAAGAAGTCAGTCCAGAGATTCAAAAGTGTACCCTGATAAATCAACTCTACATCATATTTAAACATTAATCCAGGGAATATTGCAACTTGTAGTTGTGTTTGTTTACTTTGTTGCACTGTAACAGTTAGGGGTGAGCTTAATTTATTGATGCATCCAGGGAGTTTTGTAAGCCCATTGCAAGCAGTTTAAAGGTTCACTCACCTGTTGATTGGTCAGGCTGTGACATGGATATTGCAGCTGTTGTTTGTGGAAAATTAAATATCGTTCTATCATGAAGATTCTGTGTGGGTGTGGCATAAACCACACCCTGTGGTGTGTGGTACATCACTATTCCTGGTGTCATACCTATGAAAAGACAAGTGTTAAAAATGTGTCACATATATTATTTTAAGTACCCTATGCCGAGGCCCTTTTGAATGTCAGCAGAATATACAATTAATCATAATATTTAATGTTTTTAAGCAATCTTTGAAAGATATTAATTAATTATTGCTAAGTAGTTACAAATTAAAAAATAAAAAGAAACAAAGCAGTTTCTTTTTATTAGTACACAAATATTTTCTAAGATTGAGTCAATTTTACAAAAGAAAAAAAACAAATTAAGGCAACCTCTTACCTTGCATAAAACTAATGGCAGATGGTGTGCTGACTGGTAGTGGTGTGTTGAGTTCACCTGTTTGATTGTTCTGACTGCTTGAAATTAACTGATCTGAGGACAAGATAAAGCAGTGCTTCTAAATTATTTTTCTAAGAAAGAATTGTCCAAGCGGACTTTAATTAAATATGTTTTTTGTCAATTTTTTATATGTTAGTGTAGAGTGGATAATTTTTTTTATCCCATGCCAGTTTGGCTGCTGCCTTCCGACTTCATGGACTGAGGGTCTATCCCATGGTTCACTTCCTTCCGACTTCATCGACTGAGGTCCTATCCCATGGTTTACTGCCTTCCGACTTCATCGACTGAGGTCCTATCCCATGGTTCACTTCCTTCCTTCATCGACTGAGGTCCTATCCCATGGTTTACTGCCTTCCGACTTCATCGATTGAGGTTCTATCTCATGGTTTACCTATCATTTCCCAGGAATAGTTGCCTTGCCAGGCTGAGTAGATTTCATCTGGCTTTTAACAAGAGCTGGTGGCTAATGCACTAATTGGTTGTATTGGTTGTGAGGCAGACCATGGCCCCATAGGGCTGCTGCATTAAACTCAATGAAAGTGCTAAATTAAAGACTAAAATATTTCTGTGGGCAGCATTCTAGAATTATAAAAAAATAAAGAGTATATTCTCATTCTAAAATGCCCTAGACGAACATACTCAGGTCTTTAAATTGCTACTTTAAAAAAAAATATAATAAATATTCTTTTTTATCATTGAAAGAGGTTTTCAATTATTTTAAATATTATTTAAAACAAAAAAGCAAAATACATTTAAAGGCCTCAAAATTTTATTTTAAACAAGTTTTACCTCAGAATAATTTGTTTCAAGACAAAACATTTAATTTTGTACACTTTCAATAGTGACTCCACTTATTGGGTATGGATAAGAAACCAAAACCTATTAGATGGCCCAGATGGCATTGCAGCATTCACACATTTCTGTGATACTTACTATTGTGAGCTGAGACTACTTGACTTAGTGTGGCGGTTTTGAGACCACTTTGTGACTGTGTGACTGCAATGGCTTGACCTAATGACTGGTTACTTGCTTGTAGCATTGAAATTGTTGTACCTATGGTAAGAGGAAGAGAATCTTATGTGAACTTTTTTTTTACACTAGTAATGAATGGAATGAACTGAATTTCTTTTCAAGCTAAGCTTCAGCCCATTCATTACAGCCTGACTTTAGTGCCAAATAATTGAGAATAGTTATGCTTTCACTTTGTTTTTCCTTACCATTTTGTAGTAAGATGGGTATTTGCATAGTCTGAAAGCTACTTGTGGTGGGGTTGGTGCTGTTGCTGGTGTTGGAGCTCAGAGAGTAGGTCTTGCTCATCACAGGCCCCGAGCTCTGTTCTCTAGATGCTAATGATACCGGAGCCGTTTGTATAGTGTAGGTTGGCATCTGGCTGACTTGCTCTCTGCTTGTAGCGGTCATCAACTGCTCACTACCGGGGACTGTGCTGACCTGTGTGGGCATGGGGAACACTGTCTTCAATGTATTGCAGGACTCGGTCTGACAGGGAACACAAAGAAACAACAGTAGACTTAATTTACAAATGAAATAAAATCTGATCTTTCATTCGTTTGATCTGTTCTACCTATTTAAAACTTGAAATAGCTGTCGAGTCTCTCAACAAATAATCCCTTGATTTTTATTTTAAAAAAGGAAATCAAGCATTTTTATAAGTATAAGACAAGTGTCACTGCTGAAGACAGAGAAGGGTGGCAGTGATGAAGACAGAAAGAGGGTGACAGTGATATAGACAGAAAGAGGGTGACAGTGA